TTACTTTCCTAGATATTTCAAGTTGTATGCTTTTTGCAACATATCCTCAATTCCAGCAGCGAATCCACTTGCGTTTCTTAAATCCAGAAATACGAAGGTTTCCACCTGATCCACTCTCCTTTCAAGCCAAGGCCCGATGGAATGGAATCTGCTGTTGTTCAGACTTAAACTTTGCAGTCGATGGCAGGTTTCAAATATGGTTTTTAAAATCTCAGTGGTCACCAAATTCTTACTGAGGTTGAGTTGTCTATAGACTACGAGTAGTCCCCCATTTTTCCTCAGGGATAGTAGAGCGAGCGAAACGCGAGCGCGCGTGAAAATCACCCCACGCGAGAAAAGGCGACACGCGGCGGGGAGAGAGAAAAATGAGGGACTACAGACAAAGCTAGACTACGAGTAGTCCCCTAAGTTGTCTACCGAGGGGTGCAAACATGGTATTCAAAAGTCTCAGTATAATATCCTCTCTGAGCGATCTGGCGTACGGTTGGAGATCAAGGCATGACCAGAGAGAGCTGTCACGTGACAGTCTTTTCCAGGTCCGACAAACAAGAGCAGCTCTGAGAAGATCTTTCTGAGAAAGAAAAGAAAACACCTCCAACCAAACGTCATCTGGTAAGGAATCCATGGTTGCCACTTGTAGTTCTTAGCTGATTTTTCATTTGAAATAATCATTAATTAGTGTATTTTTATGGGTAGGAAGAGAAATTATATCTCAACTTCAAGTAACTTGTAACCAGTAGTAAAAGAATTTTGCTAGTTATACTACTACATGAGAAATTTCTGCAATTTGATTGGTTTAGAGCAGTGGTATTTCAGCTTAATTTGAAATACCTACATGTGAAAATTACAGACCTTTTACGGGTAGTAGTATAAACAAATAATAGCATGATTTGTACGTGATATTTGGCATAAATACCACTCGTGATATTTCAAAATTGTCTCAAATTTCACTCGCCTAACGGCTCGTAAAATTACGTAGAACAATTTTGAAATATCACTTGTGGTCTTTATGCCAAATATCACTACAAATCATACTATTACCTATACAAATGCTGTTTTTGTTTGTGACGTATATAACATGCGCGCGCACACAAACGTCACGAGAAAGGTAAACTTTAATGGCAACGCTGAAGTAACAGTTCCATTCACAGGATAAAGTGATATTTCTTAGTCCCTGTGTAGCACCTGCCAAGACGAACGGAGGGGGAACACACAAACTCGCTCGTACCACGTGACCGGAAACACGTAGGCCGTGCGGAATAATGAGACCTAGGAACTAGTCAAATTGTGATTTACTTTACGAAGAGGTTCAATCAAAATAATAATAATAATTAATCATAATTAATTCTTATATTGCGCGCTTTCCATGAAATGATCAAGCGCGCATTGCTTGATTTCTATCTATAAAAACTTAATAAAGGGTATGTAACTACTAATTATTTAAAATATACTATGATAAAATTAAAATATACAACATAATTATGTTAAAATACTAGTAATTGTCGTGATAAAAATTAAAAATTAATAAATTAATAAAAAGCTTCCCTAAAGAGGTGCGTTTTCAGATGGCGCTTAAAAATCCCTAGATCTGTAATAGAACGAATCTCACGCGGTAATACATTCCAAAGTGCCGGAGCTGCGACCTGGAATGATCTGTCTCCTAATGTAACCCTACTTCTATAAGTTGGCGTAAGGAATCCATGGTTGCCACTTGTAGTTCTTAGCTGATTCTTCATTTGAAATAATCATTAATTAGTGTATTTTTATGGGTAGGAAGAGGAATTATATTTCAACTTTAAGTAACTTGTAAAAAGAAAAGAGTCCACATCTGAATAGATTTTTCCGTGCATACCAAACGGTGATCTTCATCTAAGAATTTCTACTAAAGGGAAAAGAGGCCAATGTGAAGGAAACAAAGACTATCCGAATAAATGGACTGAGGAATTCAGGAAAGAACATTTCCTTAAAGTATGACACGTTTTTGCAATTTGCCGCACGCATTTCAGGGTGTTACATTCATTGCCATACTGACGTTGACGAGAATACGCGCGCATAAACTTTACGGAAAGGGAAGGCGTCACAGGCTGATTTAGCGATTGAACGGGAACGTCAGTTGACAACGACGCGCGCAAACCAAATAACTGGCTTGACTAATGGCAAAGTGGCAAATTGGGTACTGGAAGTCGAGATTAGTCCTTTCCGCGCGCTTTCCCTTCGTCAAATGACGTTCCCGTTCTGTTGCTAAATCAGCCTAATAAATACATTGCCCAACATCGCAATTATAAAAAGTATGTCCACGGCTGAAGCCTCCATAAAATGAACAGTCATCAACATGAGCAGATGATGTGGTGTAGTACTGCATAACGAATCCACAAAACTGTCAAGAAAACCGATCCCCTTCAATCTAATTTTATTTCCTATTCTGTGAATTATTTTTCTTTCACATGCATAACACCTCTAGACATCAGTGTACCTAATACATTAATCGTATTTTCACCGGCTGCACGATCAAAAGTTAAACAAAAATTCAGTGATAAAGTAACATTACTCTCCTTTTCGAAGAGCCCTTTTTCTCTGGAGAGATGGTTGCAGGTAACGAGCTGAACTCACTTTACACATCGAATATGATTATTCAAAACGCTTTACTGAGACTCTGTGAGAAAAGAGGAAGCTTTCTCGGAGCCTGCCGACCGAATATAAGATTGCGTTCTATTGGGAAACATGGATTTGCAAATCTGTTCTCGTGAACAGCGGTCTTTTTTGGCTAATTATGCGCGCGCGTGCAAGACCACTGTTCATAAGGACAGTCAGTTTCAAATCCCTTTTGGGATTTCCCAATCGAACAGTAAATAGGAAATCCAAAATTAGATTTCTCAGCGTTGAAATCCGTTTTTGGATTTGGTGTTTCATTGCAAATCCGAAATCAGGATTTTAAAATCTAAATCCAGATTTCCCAATCGAACGCACCCTAAGTATTGGACAACAAGTCATTTTCCATTCCAACACCTTGGAAATCAAAACAACTTATGTTCAATATCCACTGGATGCAAAAAACGTGGCCGTAATAAATTACATCTTACAGCCATAAAACGAAGACGTCAATTCATAAAATCTGCTATGACAGAATTTTTTGGGGGAGGGAGGACTTGCCAGAGGGTTATAAATTAAAGGGGGATCCTCTCTAGATTTCATATATCAAGGTACGTACACGTGGAGTCCACAACCAGGTATTAACTAGAAACTAAGGCAAAACTGGCTGATAACAAAACAATTCTATATGAGGAGGCTTTAAAAGGAAAAAGACAAAGATTGAATTAAAAAACCAAATTTGAATTGTTTTTGTCAACAACCGCCGCTTAAAAAAAGGGGAAAGAGAAACTGTGCGTTATTATACTTGATTTGTCAAATTGATAGCATCTGCGAAAAACGTCGCTGTGCAACACCTTTGTTATCAGTCCCGATTATTTGCTTATTTTCAAAATAAAGTCGTTGGTACTTACACAAGTTAATCTAAAGGGGTTCGGCTTAACATACTGACACTGCATAATCTTCATCACACTCTATTTCACTCTTCAGTCAAGCCAGGTTGCCATTGAAAACAACTGGATCGTCATTTTGTCCTATGATTGGATATTCTGATTGTTTATTCATTTTATTTACACTATGTTCAAGTATTAAGAACAGCGAAATTTTTTCCCATGATGTGAGGTAAACTTCCCGCTCAGAATATTGTAGATACGCCTAGTATGACGCCGGATTGCTTGCTTGGCACGTGCAGATCACGTGTATGACCATTGATCATATTAAGCGGAGGGCGTGAACAACCATCGTCAGTCCCGTGTAGCGGAGATGCAGTAACTCATTCACTCATCATAATCTAGTAAAGCGCTGTCTTCACGATGACCACTGCGAGACGTTAAATTATTCTGAAACAGAATTTAAAACGAATACGTTTGTCACGAATTTCTAATTTTCCACCCTTTGGAAAGACTGCATTAATCGGGTAAGATCTTTGTTGAGCATGTGCTGCTTGTTGCTAAGACAGTTTCCAACCCACGTCTGCGCTTGTTACAGCGGACGCAGTGGTTTATCAATAAACAGACGCTCGCACTGGAAAAACCAGTTTGAGGATAGAGAACAAGTTAAAGTGGTCCAGAAGTTCGGGCTTCGGAGACTTCAAAGGCTTGACGCTTTTCAGGCACAGCCTCCAAAACAAGACGAAAAGAGGTTGTGCTCTCCGGCTGCTAATTTTCAGGCACAATCTGACCAATGTTACTAAACAACAACAAACGCTGCCATTCTAAAGACCTTACAGGCTGCAAAGAAATCGTTTTACTCGACCTTTTAATCACAAAATGGTAGACTTACGAATGACAGTAACTAAAACACGCCTACAAGTAAATGGCTCAGTCAAATATAACTGCTCCACGGAGGGAAACTTATCAAGAAGATTTAACGAAAAAAAATTCTTGGTATTAGTATCCCTTAATGGCCATTGACATCGGGAATGGAACTATGTGTTGTCAGAGATAACAAAGTTCAATTTTGTGAAAACTATTATGCTTTGAGGCAAAACAAGGTCCGCTAAGGAAGGTTAATACATGTACAAAACAGAGTTCCATGCACTTACTCTGCTGGACTCGAGAAGTTGCAACTTGACTGCAGTTTCATTCAGTTCTCGGTCTGCGGACATAAGTTCCTATTAATTGACAAAATGCAACCTCAGACACCTTAGCTTCTACACATTCACATCACGCGTAGTCATTTATAGGGGCATTGAGATTGAATTTTTAGGGAAAATGGGTTGAATTGAGAATTAAAGAAAGAAGGGAAGAAAAGAGTTTACACGTAACAAAGTAGGCAGATTTAGCACAGACAACACAACCACAGTTTCGGCAGCGCGCGCAGATCTTAGAAACGCTGCGCCTTAACCAATGACAGAGCAGCAAATTGAGTAGCCTGTGTACAGACCCCCCTTCCCTCAGGAAAAGAGGAGGGAGGAGGGGGGGGGGGTGTACACAGGCAGCCAATTTAGCACCGTCCATAAATTTGAATTCAGCAGTTTTAGACCGAATGAAGTTTTTTCATGATTTTAAGGGAAAATGCTGAAATGTACGAAAAACAAGGCTACAACCAAATTACACTCTAAATTTCAGCAAGAGAGGATTTCAGTTATAAAGTAGGTGCACAGTAAATCAGAAAGATCTGTTTTCGCCCTAAAAATGGGGCCGCTTCGGTAAGTAAAATACAGTCCTATTTTTGAATCTCATTTGGCTCCCTTAAATCAGGGCCAATACAGTCCAACTACCTAAGGTTGATTTGGACCCAATGGCTGAAATGGGCCCCAGCCTAGGCTGGAAGAGCCTTTAGACTGGGCTTTTTTCGCTTTAACTGTGTTAAATGACTCCAGGAGGGGGTGGATCAGACATGGGCCTGCACAGTTCTTCCTTATTTTCAGTGTGGTCATTATCTCTACACGATATGCCACTGCAGCCACTACACACATTCTCAAAAGCTTTTATAAATTCTACTTTTACCATTATTCAATAGACACACTATATAACTTGCATAACTCCCTATCTACCATTGGCGACAAAATTAACCGAGACACTTTGCCCCAAAGGGCTGTTCAAGCTACCTGTAGAAAGCATAAAAACACCCCAACTTTGTATGGAGGGGACAGAGGAGAGGTGTGGATTGTTTTGTTCTCCGAAGTTACAAAGCTGAGGAAAATGTCTCAACAATGTTGTCGCCGATCTTCTTCTGAAACGTGAAGCTTACTGAAGTCAGTTATAGATTGCAGAATTAAATATTACCAATCGAGGACGACCACATCATACCGTACATACATGAAAAACTCTTCCACATTTCTTACCTTTTTGAGTGACTCTATTTCGTAATTTTTCCTCTAAAGTTTCTCTGCTGCCTTTTTCTTTTTAAGTTCCTCCTGCAAGGGAAATTACATATACAATTATAAACAATTATTGGATGAGGCTCCTGTGATATTAGGAATAATCAAGGTCGAGGTAAGTGTTATTAACTGAGCCGAAGGCTGAGGCAGAATAAGAATTATAGACGCTTTGTCTTGGCATCTGACTCATCTCCATAATCATTCACTAAAGGTAATGAATAACGACGACGCATATTTCCCTTTCGTTACGGTCGTTGCCATTTTTAACGGTCGACGCTACCATTGGTAAGATACATGTAATATATTCCCTGGATTAATTAAGTTACAATAACGCCAGAAGTAAAGAAGAGCGTGCGCAGTAGACTGTTCACAGTCACCTATCTTCCCGTAAGATCGTCGAGATCGAGCGCTTTGCGTTACGGGCTGCCATCTTGCATGAGTGTCAAAACTACTAAGGGGGCGAGGGGCGGTTTGGGAGGAAGCGAGAAAAATAGAGAGAGTGTAATTACATCACTGGCCGGGCTGCTTCAGAAGCATGTTGGCTTACGTGATTCATCCTCAAAATACCAAAAATCCTTCCTGTGTTTGCGCAAGATGTGTCTTATGTGTTATGAAAGCGTACGTTTAAAAGAAACGACGACTTGTCAACGATTTGTCAGTGTCGGCAACTTAAACTAAACCCGTTGTCAACGCAAATTAACATCCATCATTTAACGAACAATCAAACGCCTGCGTTGCTGGTACAACGCGCTCCGTGAACGCGGAAGGCTAGCGTCACCTGTTATTGATGCATCAGTTTTAAGAAAGACAGTTTACTACTTTATGTACTGAAATTTTTCCAAGTTTGTAGCGTCGGTGTTGTAGTCTAGTGGTAAGGGAGAAGGATTAGGATAGGAAAGGTCTGGGTTCGACCCTGGGTTACGATTGACCTTCTTGTTAATAGAAACACTCTCAATCACGGGTCAAAAATGTTCTAACAAGTGTCTTAAAAATGGCAGCAACCGTTTACGAAAGGGAACTTTGCCAAAACTAACAAGTGCAGGGACGGTGAAACAATATTTACTACATATTATATAGTATACTTATCATTCAGCACCTTGTATCTGGTGTGTTCGTCCATGTAACAGCTATGTGTTTGTCTCTTTGTATCACGCTCATCCATATCCATGGCGAATTTCTGGACATAGGAAAAAAAAGCGAACAAAGTTAGTTGATTTTTGCCGACAAGGTTCTTTCACAAACCTTTCAAAACTCTCTACGTTTTAAGTGAGAGTAGATCGGACACGAGAATGAAGGAGACCACATTTAGTTTTTCTCTCACGGGCAGTTTTCTAGCCTGCAAATGCACCCTGCATTTAGCCCCGCCGAACCTCAAACCTGATTGGCTATCAATTGGTCCGATTTCAGCACTAATAGGACAGTACGCGTCATGCCTAAGTAACTGGACAGTAGGCACCATCACGCGCGCGCTTAAATGACTTTTTTTGTCACTGCTAGCAAAAAACTCTCGGAATTTCATGTGCTTTGATTAAAAAAACCTAAAAAATCACAAATTTTGTTATAGTCAAGATTAATTGGTAACAGAACTTCGTGTCGTCCAATTCGGTCTGTAATCATACTCATGATTAAACAAATAAGTTTTATCACTCGTATGATTAACGACCGAATTGGACTCCACTCAGTCCTATTTAATACCATTATTAATTAGCTGTGTAAGGTAGTGTTGCTTACGGGTTCTTACTGTGAGCTTGGGTTACCTGTGGTCACACGTAGAATAGAAATGAAACTGTTTGTCAAGATGGTTACTTGGTTCTTGCACATTAAGTGGAAAAAGTGTACAAAGTGTACAACCATCTTACCTTTCTTTCCTTTAAACAAACATTAAGTCTACGCTGTTGATCCAGGTCGTCTCTTAATCTACTCATTGATGCTCTAAGGTAGGCGATCTCTTCCTGGCGATTTCGAACAACCATCTATGTGGTACAATACGACAAAATCAGAGTGAAAAATTCCAGTTAAAAAAAGACAGCTTTAATGTAATCTGGGCAGGGATGTTCAAAGCTGGATTAAGATAACCCAGGGTAAGTAGGAAATTTGAATTCAGATACCGAAGCTTAAAAATCAAATTCAGTTTAATAAATTTCGTTATAATTTGATGATTGGATGCTCTCAAAGGAATAGATAAAATTATTCGAAAAAATGCTTTTGATCAAAAGAAAAAGAAACCCGAATTGAAATTTAACCTCGGTTCAGCGCTAATTGGCTTTGGCCCCGCTCATTAACCAATGAAAGGAATGAATCATACAATCCACTTCCCTATGACCCTTTATAGACTTTATGGCAATAACTTCACGGCTTAACGCTAATGTCCTATGTCAGTAAGAGCCTTGATGAAAACAGTCGTAAACAAAGAGTTTTTAGGTTAGGTGAATTTAACGTTGATTCCATTATTTAGCCTTCTCTTCCTACAAAGTTATTAGAGAGGGATGCGGTAGCCTGCGTTGCGGGCGGGATGCTTGTGCCCGGGGTAATTTATTGGCGAAGAGAGCGGTAAAGCTGCTAGGGTTCTTAATCTTCACGCGGCTCCGCCGCCAAGAAACTACAGCACTCCCGCTAATCCCGCCAGCTACAAAGGCTAAGGGATGCGCTACAAACAGATGTTACATCATCTTATAATGAAGAGAAGGACACGTTCTACACAACTGCAACTAACAATATCCCAGCAACAAGCTAACCTTAAGTCCTGTAGCTTCAGCCGTTTTCTGTCCTGCCACTGTCTCACTATTTCCGAAACGAAGGACGAAATATTTCGCGTAATTCGACCACAAAAATCTTCACTTTTTCCATCTATTTATTTTATATAGGTGTGCACATTTACCTTCCCGACATATTACCTTGACTTCTAAACGTTCACCGTCCTTTATTCTGCCATAACATCGTTGAGATCGAGCACTTAACGTTACGAGTCCGTTACGGGCGACCATCTTGGTTTCGAATGTACCGAGGGTCGGGTGGTGTCGGGGTTTTAGCGGTGGCGGGAGGCAGGGGAGAAAAACATAAATTTTTCTTGTCTCCTCCTAAACTTTCCCCCGCCCCCTAAGTAGATTTGTTACTCGACGGAAATCCCCAGGCCAGACCCAGTACAACTGAAACCAAGCTGGATGCCCCCAAGGGTAAGTACTCGATCTCGACGATCCTACTGAAAAATAGGGGTCTATGAACAGTCTATAAATCAAGGAAAATAGACGAACGAGGCCATGACGACAAGATGTAACAGGAGCTTTGCTTTTATCGTTTGAAATTCTCCTTTTATAACCGAGACCATGATAAGACATAGGCGATGAGAATTATGGAATTGATCGCGGATTAATTCAGGATATTTGCCTGGGTTTTAGCGTTCCAGAACAATTGTGTGATGTTAGACTGTTATCAGTCAACTATTTTTTCGTAAAATCGTCGAGATCAGGTGGCCATCTTAGTTTTTAATGTTCCGAGTCCAGTCTTGGGATGACCGTGAAATCTAGTTAAGGGGCGGGCACCCCGACGCCTGCCCCCTCGGTACATATGAGACCCAGATAGTCGCCTGTACCGGTAAGAGCTCGACCCTTAAGATCTTACCAAAAATAGGGGACTGTGAACGGTCTAAAGTGATGTTAAATTAAAAGCATTTTTTATAAGACATTTTATAACCGCAGCAGGATTAGCTCAGTCGGTAGAGCGCTTGACTGCAGAGCGGGAGGTCGCGGTCGTCGCGGGTTCGATTCCCGAGACCGGACCAACACTCAGGCTCTTAAATTGACTAAGAAATGAAGGTACTCCCTTTGCAGTGCAAGCGCCTAGACCGTCGGGTGGCTCGGATGACCACGTAAAATGGCGGTCCCGTCTGTAGCTAAATACATTGACACTCAAATAAAGTGCATTTATTTATTTACCTATTTTGTTTCTTGTCCCTTTACCTTAGATGCACCAAGTCATCTTCATAGGAACCCAGAAGCTGGACTTTTCTTTCCATTCGATCGTTCATCTGTTGAACTTTAGTGACCATCAGCTCCACAGCCTGATATTCAAAGGGAAACAAATTAAAGGATTAAAGGGAAAATTAAAACTTCATAGAAATCACTCAAAAGAATGGGTACAAAAGAAGGGAACCCAGGCATGAAACAAAACTAAAACAAAACAATTAACTATCCCCTCACTCAGGAAATAGACGAAGAAAAACAATGAACCACCTAATTACAATATGTTGACTTAGGTGTTGATTCTTCTGCGAATGGGTTAAGGAAAATAACTTTCAGCTAAGAAATTCAACTTCAATATCTCTTTTCTGTTGGCCTAGTGGAACTGAAATGATCTTCCAAAATATATCGCACAGGTTCAGGGCATGTTACGCCGATTGGTTTTTATCACACGCTTGGAGCAGTCTATTAAAAACACAAATATTGCAGAACTTACTCGAGGCGCTATTAACTCATTTTCAATGGCGAGTAAGATGAGAGTTTTTTGGTCGACCCGACCACAAGTAGAGCCGTCCTCAGCTCTTGCGCAAGCGTCCGTTAAGAAAGCTTCGACTATTTAAGTGTCATTGGTACTTTTTTAACGATTACGTGTTGTGGTATCTTCAGTACTTTTATTCTAGCATTGTGACACACATGTCCAATAAACACAAACGGATACGATTCGTCAAACTGATGGTCCATTGGTGCCAATGGTACGATTGGTACCAATAGAAAAGCACCCTATTCCAATGGTTCTGTTGGTGCATATGCATCTAATTAAGGGGACTTACATTATTTTCCCATGTGACCTGGTTGGGTACAGGGCAATTCCAATGGTCCATTGGTACCAATGGTACGATTGGTACCAATGGAAAAGCACCCTATTCCAATGGTTCTATTGGTGAATATGCATCTCATTAAGGGGACTTAGATTATTTTCCCATGTGACCTGGTTGGGTACAGGGCAATTCCGATGGTCCATTGGTACCAATGGTACGATTGGTACCAATAGAAAAGCACCCTATTCCAATGGTTCTATTGGTGAATATGCATCTCAACGGATACGATTCGTCAAACTGATGGTCCATTGGTGCCAATGGTACGATTGGTACCAATAGAAAAGCACCCTATTCCAATGGTTCTGTTGGTGCATATGCATCTAATTAAGGGGACTTACATTATTTTTCCATGTGACCTGGTTGGGTACAGGGCAATTCCAATGGTCCATTGGTACCAATGGTACGATTGGTACCAATGGAAAAGCACCCTATTCCAATGGTTCTATTGGTGAATATGCATCTCATTAAGGGGACTTAGATTATTTTCCCATGTGACCTGGTTGGGTACAGGGCAATTCCAATGGTCCATCGGTACCAATGGTACGATTGGTACCAATGGAAAATGATGCCATTCCAATGGTTCTATTGGTGCAAAACAAGTTCACTTTTACACCAAGTGAAAACGCGCTAATAATTATTATGAACGTTCCTCGTTCTATAAGAAAACCATGCAAAACAAGTTCGCTTTTACATCAAGTAAAAGCGCGCTATAATTCTTATGAATATTCCTCGTTCTATATCCCAATCACGCAAAACAAGTTCGCTTTTACACCAAGTAAAAGCGCGCTATGATTCTTATGAATATTCCTCGTTCTATAAGCCAACCATGCAAAACAAGTTCGCTTTAAAACCAAGTAAAAACGTGCTAATAATTATTATGAATATTCCTCGTTCTATAAGCCAACAATGCAAAACAAGTTCGCTTTTACACCAAGTAAAAATGTGCTAATAATTATTATGAATATTCCTCGTTCTATAAGCCAACCACGCAAAACAAGTTTGCTTTTACACCAAGTAAAAGGGCACTATAATTCTTATGAATATTACTCGTTCTATAAGCCAGCCACACAAAACAAGTTTACATCAAGTAAAAGCGCGCTATAATTCTTATGAATATTCCTCGTTCTATATCCCGATCACGCAAAACAAGTTCGCTTTTACACCAAGTAAAAGCGCGCTATGATTCTTATGAATATTCCTCGTTCTATAAGCCAACCATGCAAAACAAGTTCGCTTTTACACCAAGTAAAAACGTGCTAATAATTATTATGAATATTCCTCGTTCTATAAGCCAACCACGCAAAACAAGTTAGCTTTTACACCAAGTAAAAACGTGCTAATAATTATTATGAATATTCCTCGTTCTGTAAGCCAACCACACAAAACAAGTTGCCTTTTACACTAAGTAAAAACGCGCTAATAATTATTATGAATATTCCTCGTTCTATAAGCCAACCACGCAAAACAAGTTCGCTGTTACACCAATTAAAAACGCGCCATAATTCTTATGAATATTCCTCGTTCTATAGGCTAACCGCGCAAAACAAGTTCGCTTTCACACAAAGTAGAAACGCGCTAATAGTTACAAAGCGAGGGCGACCTATATATCTAGCGCTAATAATATCTCAAGGTGCTGCGAGTATAACAAACATCGTACGAACATTAAAATTGAAAGGTAACGCGTCACTGTCGTGTTCGTTCTGTTTATTGTGATTCACGAGCAAACAACAACATGACATATGAATGTCTTCTTTCCTGTACGCAAGCACTATTTTTCGGTAATTCTTACTTGTTAAAAGAACCCGAAACAACGCGGAAAGGCGCGAAACTAGCAAAGTGGTATTGAGGCAACAGGTTTTAACAACTGTACTCAACTCACTGTGAAATTAACTTCTGAAATTTCTTAGCGCAATTTCATTATCTACAAGGAAGCGTTTAAACCAAAACAAGTTTTCAATGAAGAGTTTCCGAAAAGGGTGGTTATATCATGCCGTTGCTCCTAAGAGAGCCGTTTTATATTCAAGTGACTGAAGTCACTTTTGACTGTTGACGTGGGGTTTGTCGTGGTAACCCATTGAGGTACACCAGTTTGCTATAATCAAGGTCGTAGTAAAACCATTGATGTATTTAATGTCAACGTTGTCCTTGACAAATTGTATTGGTACCAATGGACCATTGGAATTGCCCTGTACCCAGCTAGACCACATGAGAAAATAATCTAACTCTCTTAATGAGATGCATATTCACCAATAGAACCATTGGAATAGGGTGCTTTTCTATTGGTACCAATCGTACCATTGGTACCAGTGGACCATTGGAATTGCCCTGTACCCAGCTAGACCACATGAGAAAATAATCTAAGTCCCCTTAATGAGAAGCATATTTACCAATAGAACCATTGGAATAGGGTGCTTTTCCATTGGTACCAATTGTACCATTGGTACCAATGGACCATTGGAATTGCCCTGTACCCAGCCAGACCACATCTGAAAATAATCTAAGTCTCCTTAATGAGATGCATATTCACCAATAGAACCATTGGAATAGGGTGCTTTTCCATTGGTACAAATCGTACCATTGGTACCAATGGACCATTGGAATTGCCCTGTACCCAGCTAGACCACTTGAGAAAATAATCTAACTCTCTTAATGAGATGCATATTCACCAATAGAACCATTGGAATAGGGTGCTTTTCTATTGGTACCAATCGTACCATTGGTACCAATGGACCATTGGAATTGCCCTGTACCCAGCTAGACCACATGAGAAAATAATCTAAGTCCCCTTAATGAGATGCATATTCACCAACAAAACCATTCGAATAGGGTGCTTTTCCATTGGTACCAATCGTACCATTGGTACCAATGGACCATTGGAATTGCCCTGTACCCAACAAGGTCACATGGGAAAATAATCTAAGTCCCCTTAATGAGATGCATATTCACTAAGAAAACCATTGGAATAGGGTGCTTTTCCATTGGTACCAATCGTACCATTGGTACCAATAGACCATTGGAATTGCCCTGTACCCAGCTAGACCACATGAGAAAATAATCTAAGTCCCCTTAATGAGAAGCATATTCACCAATAGAACCATTGGAATAGGGTGCTTTTCCATTGGTACCATTCGTACCATTGGTACCAATGGACCATTGGAATTGCCCTGTACCCAGCCAGACCACATCTGAAAATAATCTAAGTCTCCTTAATGAGACGCATATTCACCAATAGAACCATTGGAATAGGGTGCTTTTCTATTGGTACCAATAGTACCATTGGTACCAATGGACCATTGGAATTGCCCTGTACCCAGCTAGACCACATGGGAAAATAATCTAAGTCTGCTTAATGAGATGCATATTCACCAATGGAACCATTGGAATAGGGTGCTTTTCTATTGGTACCAATCGTATCATTGGTACCAATGGACCATTGGAATTGCCCTGTACCCAGCTAGACCACATCAGAAAATAATCTAAGTCTCCTTAATGAGACGCATATTTACCAATAGAACCATTGGAATAGGGTGCTTTTCTATTGGTACCAATCGTACCATTGGTACCAATGGACCATTGGAATTGCCCTGTACCCAACCAGGTCACATGGGAAAATAATCTAAGTCTGCTTAATGAGATGCATATTCACCAATAGAACCATTGGAATAGGGTGCTTTTCTATTGGTACCAATCGTACCATTGGTACCAATGGACCATTGGAATTGCCCTGTACCCAACCAGGTCACATGGGAAAATAATCTAAGTCTGCTTAATGAGATGCATATTCAGCAATAGAACCATTGGAATAGGGTGCTTTTCTATTGGTACCAATCGTACCATTGGTACCAATGGACCATTGGAATTGCCCTGTACCCAGCCAGGTCACATGGGAAAATAATCTAAGTCTGCTTAATGAGATGCATATTCACCAATAGAACCATTGGAATAGGATGCTTTTCTATTGGTACCAATCTTACCATTGGTACCAATGGAGACCCTTCTTATCACCACTAACACCAATGGAGTCTATTTGTGAGTATTGGACAACCCTCCATTGTGAAACGAAGACACATGTACATGTAACAGCGTAGACAGGTCGCATTTTTAAGCAGGAATTGAAACTCAAATTACCTTGGTCCTGTCTAGTTCCAGTCTCTCTCTTTCCTCCACGGGGAGGTGCACCATTGAGCGACAACCTGGTAACGAGTCTATTTCAAGCAGTGCACCGAGTGTTCGAGCCAACTTCAGATACTGCGAAAAGAAAAAGCAGTTACAGTTAAAAAAAAGCCTGGAAAAATAACGACTTACGCAACTGAAATAACTTGTTTCTTTGCGTGTTTGAAGGAAAGAGGAGTGACGCGCTAAAATAAAACGACGCAAGAATAGTCTTGCAGCAGCCTCCGAAGTAATGGACTCGATTTCCGCCGCTCTTTCAGTCCTCCCACAGGAGCGCGGGCTAATTTTCCGAACAGCGTTTGGTACCGTGCCAGGCGTTCGAAAGGTAACGGTAGAGGGGACTACTGGCGTGCGCACAAAAACGTGCGTGAAGGACAGTAGTAGTAATCTTAATAAGGCATTTCCTTATTCGTTCTTCCTTTTCATGGAACGAATTAGGTATCTTTTAGTTTCTTTTTCTCTAGAAAAAAAGGTGAACCGACACTATCTTCTATCAACTAACATTAAAAGTTGAATCAATTTTCATGAAAGACCATATTTCACCTTTATATTATAACATAGCATGTGAACTATTTGCAGTACGGCACTCTTGACAGATTACCCCGTCTTTGAATTTACTTCTGCAAAAAGCTGCCAATAAGGCGCTCATGCCAAGTCGTTTTTTAACGGCGAATGATGACCGGAGCGTACATTTATTAGCGTCAAGCCCTTAATTTCGGTCGCTCAAAAACGCTTTTGCTCAAGCTCTTATACTCCTCACTAATTTTTTCGTGTTTATATTAAAATCAACTCACCGTCTTTTCACTGAGATCTAATGCTTCCTTTGTTTGCTGGTGAGCGCCTTTTTCCAAATCGGTTTCAGTGAGACTGGCAGAAGCCTGCTCACGACGAACTCTGAGCTGTTACAAGGAAACAGATATAACGCATTTCACAAAAGACTATCATGGCATAGAGAGCATGCTATAGCATTTCAACATGTAAACGTTCATTCGCAGAATATTAAATTATTGAAATAAAAGGGGGAAGAAGGATCTATGACACACTCTTAAAATGGCCCATGACAGTTTTTATCCTATTTTCAGCCTCTTCAGTTTGCTGGATCATACTTGAACTCTTTCAAGTGAGCAAAAATGATTATTTTTGTCATACAACAAAGTCTTGGAAAAAAAAATGGGGGCAAATAATAGCAAGGACTCACTCTACAAACGACATGACTAGGGTGGACTACGAGTAGTCCATCATTCTTCTCAGTGACAGCCTGCGTGACAGGCACAAAAAGGAGAGGGGGGAGGTGGAAAACCTCCCTTTTCCTCTCTTTTCCTACCCCTTCGCCTGCCACGCTGATATTCAAATGTACTCAGGAATAGTACAGCAAGCGAATAACACCAGCGCGCGTGAAAATCGCCACCCGCGAAGAAGGTGACACTCGGGTCGTCATTTTCGCGCGCTTGAGTAATTCGCTTGCTTTACTATTCCTAAGAAAATAACCAGGGACTACGCGTAATCCGCTATGACCACGGGACCCTTTGTCACGCAATCCCTCCTGACAGAATACGTGACGCGCCAAAAGGACGTCGCTTTTTAAAATGAAGTCAAGAGGAAACGCAAGCGCAGAACTCCATAAATTAGAAGAGCATCACACTGTTACGTCTGTTACCTCAGCATGCATTTCGCCTTCGCTTTTGTGGTAGTCCTCTTCTTGGGAGGCCAGCTTCGCCCTTAGTTCACTGACTTCCTTTTTGAGAGCCACAATCTGCTGTAAAGCTTGTTCATGATTTGGAACTAACATAACAAAAAAAGACCCATCTTATCAACTAGAAATACGTGTATTACACGTAACGTGTCCCTGGCGAAGCTAAGGTTATGGGCCAGCAATAGATACAGTGTAGCACGAAATTTTTGCGGGAGTTTATTTTTGCGGATTGGTGATTTTTTGTGTTTTGCGGGAACTAATTATTGCGGTTAGGACAGATTGGTTTTTCTTGCTGGGAATTAATTCTTGCGATTTTCAGAAAGTACCCAATACCCAGCATTGACAATATTTTCGTTGTTATTGAGTACGTGCAATAGAAATGCATATTTTCAAATAATACTACGGTGTGCGTCAGTATTTCATTGTTTATGCTACTACATGAGAAATTTCTGCAATTTGATTGGCTTAGAGCAGTGGTATTTCAACTTAATTTGAAATACCTACATGTGAAAATTACAAACCTTTTGCGGGTAGTAGTATAAACAAATAATAGCATGATTTGTATTTGATATTTGGCATAAATACCACTCGTGATATTTCAAAATTGTCTCAAATTTCACTCGCCTAACGACTCGTGAAATTAGGTATAACAATTTCGAAATATCTCTTGTGTTATTTATGCCAAATATCACTACGAATCATGCTATTACCTATACAAACCGCTTTGTTTCTAAACGAAACAGATAAGTTTTAATTGAACAGACACGATTTCTTAGCGAATTTAAGTTAGAGAATATTTACTCTGGGGTAAATTTTTCCGGTAATTTTTATTTGCGGGAACGTATCTTTGCGGATCGCTAAAAAAAACACGTAAAAATCGCAAAAATTAGAACCCGCAAAAATTTCGTGCCACACGGTAGACCATTTCCAAGTTACCTGTCTTTGCAAACGAGCGTTAGTGCGAAGCTTTTAATATGAAAATGACTTCAATGCAAATGAAACTCATTTTCACGAAAAAGGTTTTGCATTTCGCCTAAAGCCCCCCGTTGTCTAAACTGCGAAGCAGACGAATTTTTTAGAGTGGGTAAAAGCTACTTGTTTATGATCGTATTGCTGCGGCCGCCATCATATTAATTTCATGACAGCGGAAAATGGGGGAGAGTAGAGATAGGAATTCCTCGACCTTTTTTTGAAATCGAACATAGCTGTAGAAAACGCTTGAAACGCAGGCCAAAGGCACGATAAAAGTTTCAAGTTTAAGCCCGATTTTAAATTGCCTGTGTAAAAGGGACTGAAGGTCGAGATTATTGCCTGGTTAGCTCCAGCTGCGCATCACTTCTTTTTTAAATTTTTTTCGCGACATTCATCGTTCAACCACTATAAGACGGCGCGCGATCCTGGAAAGAGGGCGGTGACCTTGATCAGGCTACTGTCAAGGTTTATACGCAACCAAGCTTATTTCTAGTCTGCTACAGAGGAGCGTTGCGTGACGACACTAAAAACGGCTGTGTAGCAGACTAGCTTATTACCCGAGAGTTTTTTCCCGAAAAGTGGATAGATAGTTTGCGGGCAGACATCTCCCATTTCACGTGGCAACAAAACAAAATAAGGGACGTCTTTCGCATAATTTTCACTCCAAATCTTCTGCTCTTTTGTCACTTGAAACAGACTGGAGAATGAATGTAATGTGATTGCGCTCAACTTTTATAAAAAGCTATGTATATTTTTTATCCATGTGGATTTCGTCAAAGCTCTTGTTTAGCCCCTGCGATCAAAGACCTCAGTCTATAATGTAAGACAGATTTACTTTCAAGACTTACGTGGTGGTTTAAATTGCTCCAGTGTTTTTGTTCGGCCTCTGAGTTCTGCCAGAGCCTCTTTTTGCCTCGCTATCACTAGCTCATGTCTCTCTCCTCGACATCGCAGTCCTAGAGCGTGTAATTCACCTGTCATGAGATTCTGTAGAGAAAACCAAATAACTGGTAAAAAAGATTAAACTTGACTTTTGCGGAATTAAACTGATGGTGAATTAACTAAAGCTTCTTTAGTGGTCCGTGACAAAATTGGAGCTTCACGTGCGTGAAAGCTAAACAGAAATTCCAACAGACAGGAAGTCGAAGTCCGAAGTAGACTGACATGGAAAAGAAAGAATTAAATGGATAAATGTAGATTTGAAGGAGATTTTTTTCATACTTTAAAAACTGTATTTCTAATAACATCCGAGATATTAAGAAGTTTTCAAGTGATTTATTGGTGAAGGGAATTTAGTCAAAGCCTCTGTGACCTTTGCATGAAAGGTCGCAGACACAAAGCACTAAACCAGACATTTTAATAAAAGTAACTAAACAAGAATGTAGGGACTACCTGGAATAAACGGCGCAATGTTTAATCAATGCTAAAACCTCAAGTACTGAAAGCTTAATTTTACGTTAACTGTAATCATATTAGTGAAACGAAAATATAATTATCACGATGTAACACGTATTGAATACTGAATATTGTCACCTCTTTCTCAATCATCTTGATCTTCTCCTCCTGCTCGTCAATTTTTGTGGCCAGTTGTTCTTTGTATTCAACCAGTTCAGTTCCCTTCTTGACCGTGTCCCGCTTTTGCCTTACTAATGCCTAGGAACAGTTATTAACACTAGTCTCAGGCTCTCAGTTGAGTTGCAACGATCGAATAGAAAAACTACGGGGATTTACCCGCTTTTCATTTTACTGTTGCCTTTAATTTCGCTCCTTGCAACAAGTTTGCTTTTCAGATTCTAATGCACTTTTATGTGTGGGTTCTTTAACGTCCCACAGTTTTCATAACAAAAAAACAAAATTTAAGTCAACTTTATATCAATTAAATTACGTTGTTGTACTGCTTTATTTCTTTAGCACTGTAGTAGTTCAACGATTAATTCAGCTTAAAGGTTTTTTTCTGTAGTCGGTAAATGTGATGAACAATAAAAAAAAGTCTCACAGTTTTCATGTGAACAAAGGCTGCTGCCATACAGAGCAAACGGTTTTTTCTCCTTATCCTTTTGCAGATGACTTAACAAAGGCAGCACTTTCTCTTCAGTTATTTGACGACCACCACGAGTGTTGGTCCGGCAGGGGTTTGAACCCGCGACTTCCCGCTCGGCAGACCGTCGTTAAGCCAACCGAGCTAATTAAGCGGTGGTTGGCAACCCGAGTGATCTTGAATCATATTATCCTGATCTAGACAGCACTCAAGATATTTTAAACATAATAATATGTGGGTTATTCATGGTCTTACATCACCACCAATGAAGAATCTCAGCAATAGAGTTACATATCTTACAAACGCCACATACCTTTTGTTGTTCACTAAGTTTGTCTTCCCTGGAGTTAATCTCCTTTTGCTGTTCATCCACCAATGCAGACAGCTGCACGAGCTGTTTTCTTTGTTCTTCCAGCTCAGTGTCTTGCTCTAGTATCCTCTCCTCGTATTGTTCCAGTTTCTGTTTCTGTTTATCGCTTAACTCGCCGGCCATATCAGACATGCGTGCTGCTGCACCCGCCAGATCCCTTCTTAATGCTTGCACCACATCTCCTTGACTTTCAGCCTCTTTCTTAGCTTGGGTCGCTTCGCGTCTAAAAAAAAATTATGTTTCAGGGGTCTGGGTCCCAGCAGGCCACGTGCTTATAAGTCTAGCCCCTCCCTTTTGTGTTTGACTTATTCAGTTAACCTATTGGGATTCTTTTTGAACGTCACTTATTTTTATTCTTTTATAGACTGCGAGCAGTCACGGACCAAGAAAAAAGAAAGACTGCTAGTAGTCTAATTCTTTTATTCTCCGATTTGTACACAAATGATGTTAAAAAAAAAGAACAAAAATACATTATTTCTTGAAGGCCATCGAAGGAGACAACAGGTAAAAAATAGGTGTTTTTTGGGAAAAAAAAAGTGTTTAAACGTATATCGCAGTCTTTAAAAGATCTTGTGTAGTCTGCGTGTTCATTGCAAATTAACTATACTCGTAACCCATGTAGGCGAGGGCGCAACGTCGTTTGCAATTGCCCTGACTGGGATAAGAACTGGAAGGATTGTACGGGAAAAGGCGGACTGCAAACAGTCAAAGTTGAATTCAGAATTAGTCCACATTGGAGCAATTGAAAAATATATTGTTAGCAATAAATGCTGAATTTTATAAAGCAGTACATCATAGAAACAATCTACTTTAAAAAAATGATGCTTAAGGTATAGTTTGAGAGTGTGTAAGACCTGTAAAAGGCCATTTTCCAGTTGCCCCAAACCTCTGTTTCAAAGCGAGGCTATGGGTGAAACCACTGATATGAATATGAGATTTTATTCCCATGCACTGAAATAAAACACTTAGGGTGCTTCCATTTGTCAAAACTGAGCGGCCAGCACCCTCCCTTCGTAACGAGAATTTCACTTTTAATCAAAACTATCCAGCTAGATCAGTCAAATACTGAATAGAGTGCACGAAAAAGATGGTTTTCCCACAAAAACTCTTGAAAAGGCCATTTCATTTTCAAACTGACTGGTCCAGCAATGGTGCGGCCGGCAAGTTTTGACAAATGGACTGAGTGCCCTTAGCTTCGTTTTGAAAGTGAGAGTTTTGGAACTCGGACATTGCTTGTGATTTCATTCCTTTATCATGAAAACCACAGCAACTGACATATCCGAAGACAACTTTTTTCAGGAGGTACTTTGCTTTGAATGCGTTAAAGGAAAATAGGATTCAAGTATTTCGCTTTGCGTTTACATACGGTCCTGCAGTAGCTGTTACCTTAGTAACAAGACCAGTTGTTCCAGTTTGTAGACATCTGACTGCAGAGTGGCTTCCACGCTTGTCTGGGGTACAGTCTCCGTCTCGACTGATCTCGTCTAGGTTCTTTTCTGGGAGACTGAGGTCTAGAGGAGTTCATAGGATCTTTCTTAGGGGAGGAGGGTCGGGATGATTCTTTGCGCGGGGATGTCGGTCTGATTTTGCCTGCAAAAAATGATATCTTTCACTCTTCTGTCCATAAACTTACGTTAAACAAAACGTCCTCACCTAATGTTCGCATCCACTTTTTTGTTTGGCTTAATCAAACAAGCAGTAAACAAACAGAACACACACATTTTCTTCGTACTCAAACCTACTGGCCTGTTCCAGGCTCTCAGCTAGTAAGGATGACGCCTAAGTGAAAGGCACGCGAAATGTGAGTGCGTGATCTCAATTTCGCGTACCCGGCTATCTCGGATCATGGAAAAGGCCAGAAACCTACTGACAGACTTGGACAAAACGAAAAGTATTTACACTGAAAAGCTAAAAAGTTATATACAAACCGGATTTGCATAGTTAACGGTAATGTAATGCAGCGATCCCTCTATAGGGACTGTCTTTTAAAATATACATCTTTCATGTTTTAATTTTAAAAAGACAGAATTCGTCTTTCCTAGTTTGAAAGAAAACGGAGAGAATACTTATATAACAAACGGTGTTCATTTAACAGACAAAATCTAACTTTCTCACTTTTTAGTAGAACGATCGTTATACGAAATTAATTTCTAACATTGCCTAAGTGATACATAACGATTTAAGGGCTAAATAGAGTACCGTTAACATCCATTAAAAAGTCGTGCGCAATCAGATCATTTAATGTACAAATGCAAAGCAACAGAGAACAAAAGAAAGTTCTCTGAATTTTGCTTTCAACGTTTTCCAATACCAAAAGGGAGATACTAATTTTTCATAAATACTTTAACATACCACCAAAGAAGTCAGTCAAGGCCTCTTACGATACTTAAAAAAGTTGACGTTAAACACTGTATAACAGATCTCGAGTGTCGATAAAAAGAAACAAAACAATTTATATCTTGAATGCTAAGTCTGTCCTTAATTATTCAAAGCTAATTGATTTAGAAGCAGTCTTCATTAAATTTAGAACTCAAACTTAGACGTCTGAAAATAAACCAGCTATAAATAATCTAAGAACAGATCTTTTATTTTTCGCGAACTCTTGGGAATTCTATTTCTTTTCCACTGAAAAGAAGGATTAACGTGCTTGAGCATTGGATTATTTTAAGGACTTAAAAACACATCAGAGAATGGGAGCAAAGAGAAAACCAATACAACAAAAATTGAAAAGCAGAAAAATGTGTTCACTGAAAGGAAACCGATATTTTTTTCCAAAACGTAAACGAAAACAGGTTCGCTTGAAAGAACAATGGTGTACTCCTTTTTTGACTTTCCATATCTAACACGGACTTGAGAGTAGAAATTTGTTACGATTTGAAGAAATAACACAACAGTTTTCAATTAACAAGACATGGTTCTGCAAACTTATGCCATTTTCAGTTGTAGAAGCTCGTTACAATATTATTTCTTCAAATCATATCTAAAACCAACGACAAAACAGTGGTTAGAAACAATTAGGCCAAGCTCAACAGCTTTAGGCCGTATCCAGACGAATCCGGTTATTTTTTGAAACCGCATCCTTTTTTTGGCACGAATTAGCCTTTTTGTGCACACGAAACCAGTGAATCCGCCAACCGAAACCACCTCTTGCTCGGTGAAAACGCTCGCCAGACTGGTTTATGCCACCCCGTTCACACGGATTCGGGTAAGAAAAGATGTGGTTTTAAAAATATCAGGATTCGTGTGAACGTGGCCTCAGTAACAGCTAATCGTGAAAAGCATTTAAGAAATTCAATCGAAGGAGCATTTTACTAACCTGTGGTCTGTTTAGCGTGCATTGCCTCCTGTTCCAACTGTCGATTTTGCCGAGTCAGTCTTAACAGCCTTTCTTCCATTGCCACTATCGTGACTGCGTGTTGTCGAGTTTGTTCCTGTAAGTATATAAATAAATGATGACAACGATGTAATCTCTGTAATATCTTGATAACTTTTCTATTTGAGTTTGTCGGGTAATCGTGCGAGGTCGATTTAACAAAATCACTGAATTGCTTCACTGGGGTATTGACTTAACTGGGTTTCACCTCTCCATTTGGGGGAGTCACGCGCAGCATCCCCGCTCGCTTCGGCCGACACTCACGTTGGACAGTTTATAAATCAGAATATATTGAGTTAACTCCGAGACACAAAAACCTTTTGAAAAATTACCAAATGGCCCTACATTCGTGTGGTACAGAAACTTAGAGATTGACCAAGGAATTAACTGAAGCAGAAATTGTAGGTGTTTATTAACAAGTGCCTAAGCAGGATCCGACGGATTTTGTGGCCCAAAAGAATCCGAAATGAAGAGTTGTGGAGACAGGAAGGGCAGCGCCGATAAAGGAGGAGATAAGAAAACGAACATGGCGGTGGATTGGCAAAACACTGAGGAGACCAGACAAACAAGTGGCCAAGACAACTCTTTAATGGATCCCACAGGGGAGTCCCAGACACACTTAGCGACGACCGGAAATACGTCTGCTGTTCGCAGGCTAAGACACACTTTGAAGCGCACAAGGATGTGAGAACATGAGGGGAGAGGACGTAATGGTTTGAATCAAAATAGAGTCAAATTGTAAGAATTAGTGGAGTTTAAAGGTTTAAAGGATTGTTTATAGTGGAAAGTGCACTTAGCTTATCCAGCTACTTTACAGGCGCTCCACCTAATACTTAGAAACAAAGAATTCAAATACAACATACGATTATTAAAAATCCCAACAGGGAGGCAACCAGTTGGCTATTTACAAGCGTGGCCGAGGATTTGAACTCGGGAAGACCGAGAACAAATCCTACAAGTGGCCAGAGCGGGACTCGAACCCGGGACCGCGGGATTGTGAGTCCGACGCGCTGACCACTCGGCCACAAAGAGGGCTGAACGAAGAGGACTGATGAAGATGATAAAAACCCTAAATGATCGACCGTTTACTGAATATTCAGCCAGTCACATTTTAACGATGATGTACTAAAGATACCTTAAAAGAAGCGACCTCGTCTTCTTTATAATTCCGCAGTTCTTCTTTCTCACGTTCAACACGAGCCAGCTGTTCTTTGTAGGCTGCGGATTGTTCCTGAAGCTGACTTCGTAAGTACGCCTAAGGAGAAAGTTCGGTCATTTCGTTATTAAATTTTAACAGCGTCTTGTCGCGTCTAATAAACACATACAATAAAAACCTATCTTTCAGACCGATCTTTGGTTTTCAATTGTAGAATCCACTCTTTGCTGAATTACAAATCGCAAATCGTTACAGGCACCCGTAATAGGAAAATTTAAGTTCATTTTTAGGCAAAAAACAGGTAACGGTTTTTCGTGCTTATCCGAGAAGACTAGAAAGACTAACCGTTTGCAGATGTCATTGCAAAGGTAGCACTTTCTCCTCAGTTATTTTGAAGACCCTGAGTTTTGGTCCGGCCCGGGTTTGAACCCGCGACTCCCGCTCAGCAGACCGGCGCTCTCCTAACTGAATTAACTAGGCGGCAGTTATTAGACAGTAAGGAAAAACGGTATTTCAGCTTGAGGATATAAATACGAGAGGTGCAGAAAGACTAACTTTGAAGAACGTACCTCAGTCTCCTTAGCTCTGTGTAATCCATCTTTAGCTTGTTCGTACTGGGACTTTGCTGTTGTCAAGGCAACTCTGTGATTCTCTAACTCCTTCTGTCGTTCATTAAGTACCTGCATAGAAGACTTAGTAGCTCAGTTTACCGCCGATCCAACCCTGGCCTGCGAGAAGTCTTTTTTATTCGCACGCCGTGCGCGGCTCTTAGTAGCCTACGTAGCAAACCTCCCAACTTTCTCAACGAATTCGCGGGGAAACGCTTTCAACGGGCCGATCGCTCGTGGTCTACGTTATAGGCAGCCCTCTTGGCTATAAATATACGGAGGGGGAGGGTCCCGGGGTTTACAGTGGTGAAACCGTCCCTCGTCCCTAAATAGCGGTCATTTTACTGTTTACTTAATTTGTTGGCAGCTCCCACTGTTGTTTTAAATTTGATGGCTTATTTCCAGTGACTGACATCTCCGAAAATAGGCCTTTTTCAAGAATATCATAGTCCTGGTTGTTGTCGCTCTAAACTTTTACTTAAGCATTCCTTCAATTCTCTTGGGGCGATTATAAGTCATAAGAGAAATTGAAAACAATGCTTATGCAAAACTTCGGAGGGACAACGAACAGTATTCTCGCATTTTTGAAAAAGCCTTTGAGCATTTGTTCAGTACCTGTTGTAGTTGGGTAACGCTACCATGTTGGGACTCCATGATCTTTCTCTCAGCATCCACTGCTGCTTGTATCCGCTCTCGCTCTTTTTGTTTAAATTCATGCATCATCTCATGCTGTTTTTCTTCTTCCTCAGATCTCACTTGAGCCACTGCGCGGGAAATGTGTTTTTCTTCCTCTCTCTTCATGTCCTCTCGTAACTTTAACACGACTTCCTGATGCGTCTCCTCCATTTCTGCAATCCTACACACAAAGAAGAGAACAAAAATTAATGAAATTTGTTTTACTTACAAAACGAGCCTTCCATCGCCACAAAAACAACCACAATTATTGAATTTACATAGTTTTTCCAGCTTAATGAAGAACTGTAACAGTTTTTTTGTATGGTTAACCTAAGTCACAGATTGTCAAATTGAAACGTATTCAGAACTCGCTATAAACATCAGCGAGTATTCTGATATTATACCAGCACTTCAAGATCTTCACTGGCTGCCAGTTCACGCTCGTATTCATTTTAAGATATTAATTTTCGTTTTCAAGGCAATTCACGCACTTGCAACACCACAAATCAGGGATTTAATTAATGTTAGATCGAAGTCCTCTTACAATCTTAAATCAAATAGTAGTCTTTTACTTGAGCCGCCTAGAGAGAAAATGCTTTCTACGCTTGGTGCCAAATCCTTCTATGCTGCTGCGCCATGTTTGTGGAATAGTTAGCCTGCTGAATTGCGCGAATTTCAATCATTAACTATTTTTAAACGTAAACGTACCTTTTTGGGATAGGTTAGACTAAAAATTCGATTTCATCTCGACCTTTTTTTAGCTAATTTGATCTGAATTTATTGTATTATACTATATCTTTATTTCACTGATTTATTAATTTATTAATTTTCAGTCAATTGTATTTTACATTTCTCATTTTACATTGTACAGTTATATCATTTTAGAATAGATTTTTAACGTGAATTATTGTAAAGCGCTACTGGTCATTTTTATGTAAATAGCGCTATAGAAGTACTTCAATTACCATTATTATTATCATTTTTATCAACTGATCTGAAAAACTCTACTGTTGTTTGCTATGAAGACACTTAAAATCTACCGTTGTGTTCTATTGAGATCAAAACCAGACTTATTCTTTGACGGATCGACGTTGCAGTTGATACCCTGGTATCGCCTTTGTTTTTATACTGTTGAATCGAGCGAACCGTCATTCGGTGTTACAAACCTGATAAAATATTATTCCATGCTCTGGAAAACCGCTGAAGCTAATGACTGTGGACGAATAACAACAGCTAATCGCATGACAGTTTGATACGTCAAGCTCATATTCGATTCTGAGGCGAATCGCGAATCGAACTGTAACATTTTTGAATTGCAATCAAGGTCACAAATAACTCCTCTGCGCCCTGTGTTTGAGCCTCTACATCAAACTATTTACGTTTTTTTCCTGTTTTAGGGTTAAACAATGCTAGGACTGGACTTAGGTGATTACATTTTTATTCTTCTCGAACGTACAGCTCACACGAACACTCCATTGGCAAAAAATAATGACGGCAAAGCAAAACTGTTAGCGGAAACTTCTCATCATTTTCAACAATCAAGTACAGCACTTTAAAGACGATTCATAACCCAAAACAGCTTTTGCCTGAGAGCGGACGGAAAAGCCCAGAAAACCGAAATTGATGTGGCTGTCGTGTCACAAACGCCCATGAAATCTGTCTGATATATTCTTTTGTGTATGGGTAAAGGTTCTAAGTAAAAGCTTCAGCACAGAATTGACCTAAAACAGAAATATCCTTGTGACATAGGCTCTTTAAGAGTAAAGTGAGTCCAGTGAGCTTGGAATTCTTACTTTCCCTTGAGTTTCCGACACTCTTCCTTCTGATCTCTTAACTGGCGACACATATCTTCCACGCTGATAGACGTCTCTGCCAAAATTAAAGGAAAAACAGATGAGTTGCTCGGTAGTTGTGATACAGGTTTTCGGCCTTTTCTGCTCTTTCGAAATTTTAAGAAAAGACTCCAAAACCTCACCATAATGTTGCACGAAGATTTGCCGAAGGCGACATTCGATACCCCGAAGTTTTTACTCACCAGAATCGGAATCCTCTGTGGCTCTCTTCAGAGCGTCTTCAGCCTTTTGCTGCCAAACAGCCTCGTTAGACAGCGTCTTACAAACAAAATCCTGAAAAAAATAGTTCACGTTACAATTCACTCCGCAAAGCCCTTTTCTCCCTATCTATTTTTAGTGAAGACAAAGATGCCATTCTCTCGCTCGGTTCACATCACTATTGCGACCTTTTAACCAACGAAGCTGTGGAGGATCTGATGGCGAGCAAGGCCGTTAAGACGATATATTTAAATTCTAACATGACTCCGAGGTTTTAGGGGCCAAATTGCAAATTTTTTACGAATCCATCGTCTAGCAATTCCCAGAAGAGACTTGAGCAAAAACCAAACCAAAAGTATAGAAAAATGACCAGAGAGACTCGGAGTCATGTTAGAATTTTAATACCTCGAACGTGGGCTATTTGGTCATTAGCTACCTGAAAAAGGGAAGCAATGATTTCCAACGTTGTTGCGCCAACAATGTTGCGTGTAGTTGCGTCCGTGTTGCACTTAGACTACGAGTAGTCCCCATTTTTCCTCAGGGATAGTAGAGCGAGCAAAACGCGAGCGCGCGTGAAAATCAGCCAACGCGAGAAAAGGCGACACGCGCCTCATTTTTCTCTCTCCCCGCCGCGTGTGGCCTTTTCTCGCCGGGGTGATTTTCACGCGCGCTCGCGTTTCGCTCGCTCTACTATCCCTGAGGAAAAATGGGGACTACTCGTAGTCTATGTTGCACTGGTGTGCAAACGGATGCAACAGATCCCAACAACACGCAACAACATGCAACAGGGTGTGCAAACGGACGTAACCTGTAAAATCCAACAATGTTGGAGTTTTTTGCCACCAATGTTGCGTCCGTTTGCACGGGGCTATAGGCGCAAAGCATCATGATAAACTTGATTAACAATGGTAGTGTTTCCAAGGGCGATCCGTTTTTAATCTCTCTTATATTTATTGTTTTAACTAAATCAAATCTTCAATGCAAAAACTCTGTCAACCTATTTATAAGAAATACAATAGCTATCTAATAACAATCATAATTTTAACCATTAATAGTAAATGAAAACATTTCCAAGGCTGGCAGATCTCTATGTTTATAGATTGAAAATAAAAACCTCATCCTCTCCCCTTCGTTTTTAGGCACCTATTTTCGCGACCTTCGTTCTTTAATTCCAAAGCCGGAAAAGGAGCTTTAAGTAGGTAAACTTTTTGTTATAATAATGTTACCTTAATCCATGACAGTGAATCATGAGTTGTACGCTCCTCAACTAAAGTCAGCTCTTCTTCCAGCGCAGTGCATGTCCGACCTGACTTCGACAGTCGTTTCTATGGATGGAGTGGACCGATTTAGGTTTCTGGGAAACTGCCCACCTACCCCTCCCCCCTCCATCCCCTAACTCACACTTGGGGCAAAATATTGAGTTGATCCGATGGAGTATACAGCAGAGAAATAAACGATCTTTCTAAATACGAGCTTAAGTAATAAAAAGTACGGCTTCTTTGCTGTTCAGAGCGTCTCTGGAAAACACAGCAGAGAAATAAACGATCTTTCTGAATACGAGCTTAAGTAATAAAAAGTACAGCTTTTTTGCTGTTCAGACCGTCTCCGGAAAACACTGCATAGAAATGTATGATCTTTCTTAACATGAGTTTACGCAACAAAACGACTGCTAATACTTCTTTCAATGAAGTTCCCACTATCGTGAAAACATTACTAGAAAAACTCCTGGAATGTATAATAACCTATAAAGCACGGTCCATGAAGTAAAATTATGAAAATTCAATGGTATAGTCTTTATAATAAATGATGCATTTTTAGCCCAATAGATTTCAAATAAAAGGCACCGTTTTAGAGAGTGAGATGTAATCCCAGCTTTATGGCGGAAGGCATTCTTTGACGCCATAAAATAGGTAAGTTGTCACATTTTTGAGACTTGTTAGCTGGTTAAAAGTTGATGAAACATAAAAATTTACCTCTTTCAAATGCTCACAAGGTAACATCTATGTACAAAAATTGCATTTTCGTAACTTCTCTATCCTCCTCTCTTTTACAAAAAATGTCTGTCACACTTGTCACTTTCGCGAGTTCAGATTCAGAACTGTGCATTGATTCGCTACCTCGTTTGCTGTATAATCTTATGATGATATACAATGACACGGTAACCTGCAATTCTGTTATTGCAAACGTCTCGATAAATTTTACTTATGATTGTTGAGAAATGTTGTGCACCATAAAGGCTGGTTTTCAATAACGACGAAGTCGGAGTCGTAATCAAAAGCGAAGAACTTTACGATCTAGTGAAAACAGCATTCTGATTCCGCTTACGACTCCGACACTTACGATCAAGTGAAAAATAGGTTGTCGGAGTGTTAAGCTGAAGCGGAAGAACTAAACCAATCACAAAGCGTGGGAACGGGCATTGTGATTGGTTTATCCTTCCGCTTATGCTTCCAACTCCAACAATCTGGTTTTCACTTGATCGTAAACGACGGAGTCATAAGCAGAGTAAGAAGAAAATGAAAACGTTCTGCTTCTTCCGACTCCGATTCCATCGCGCTTATGACTGCTGACGACTCCGATTTTTTATTTTCAACAAGTCGTAAGCGCTTTTACGATTCCGCTTACGACTCCGTCGCTAGTGAAAACCAGCCTTAAGAGGACTAATGTTGGATGTCCTGTGATTTACTCACCAGCATGCCTTCTAGATGTTTCCTCAGTTCACCCGCTGAATCTTTTAAGTCTCTGTCTTTTGCTTCTTTCTACCATGGTCAAAGAAAGCAAAAAGGGTAAATGATTAAAAAATTGATTATTACCAAAAGAGAAAACCTTTTCAGTTCTTAACACATTTATTCAGATTTAGCAAGCTAGCTGTCGTACGTCCATGAGCGACAACATCATGAACTGAATTAAGAAATTAAAAAAGGCTGCGGCAGAAGGGTCGCTATTGACTGACAAATTTAAGGGTGTGGAGGGGGGGGGGGTTGCGGAACTTTAGTTTTCAGTTTTAGTTCAGCCTCTAATTAGGAGTTACGTCACGTAACGTAACGTAACGTGGGAGTTTTTTTTTTTACGGTAGGAAAACGCGGCATCTCTTAACCGATAACATTTTGTCCAATTAAGGCTCACAGATCAGTTAACCACACCCCCTAATAAAACCTCCGCGCGAAGGAACTGTTATGAAAAAACCCATCTTCTTAATCACATAAAAATAATTGATGTTTAATTTTCCCAGTGTTATCCGGATAACGCCAGTATTAGTTGGGGTGGAGGAGGGAGATGGGGTAGGGGAAAGAGGAGCTCGTTCCGTTTGAGGGAAAAAGCCGTGGATGTGGGTGACGAAGCGCACAACTCCCTCTCGTTTTCTGAAGGAGGGGAGAAGTGAAAAGGCTCCTTTTCAAAGTTTTAAAGGAAAAAAAAATGAAAAAAGTCATGTCCGGGGTAAAGTTCACACTCAAAACAAACGAGGCTCTTCAGTAAATACTGAACTCACTTCACTTCCTGAGTTTGCGTACTGCTGGATTTCTTCCACTAGAGTTAACTTCTCTTGAGCCAGATTCCTCACGTGATCAAGCAATTCATCGTCATCCAGTTCATGATCAACTGTTCTTTGAACATCGCCGCGGAATGTGTGTTCAACCAATTTCCGCCGGAAACGATCAAACTACAGAAGAACATAAATACACAGCCATTTTGAAGGAATTTCTGTAAGCCCCACCCATTCCCATTTTGTGAATCGCTTTAGCAAGAGAGAATGAACTAGATCATTCTCTCTTGCTTTGCCTACTCGCTTGCTCGTGACCTAATTCCCGTGATACCCAAATAAAATGGCAGCCTGATATAACAAATTGCCGGGGGAGTGTGAAGTGTAACCTTTATGAAAGGACACGTTAATGCTGTGGATTTTATCCGAGAAATTTGCTTCTAACTGTTGCCTGAGAATGTCATTTGTTATACCAGAATGTTATTGCTTACTTGCAAGCTACAAGAAGCTGGGGATGGGAAAGCCGTTCTTTACAAATATTTCAGAGCAAAATATTTGATTTTTCATGCTCTTTTTCAAATCAAGTCTGTAAAGTGGCGAATGATAAAAGACACTAAGGGATACACAATTCCACAGAAAACACAAAACTATGCCCTATATCAAGCCCAAACGGTTGAAGTGCTATTTTCTGTTTTAAACCAAAAGGTGACCAAAAACTAAACCCCTTTACCCATAAAGCTGATGTAAGGAAGTATTCCCCCTAGCAAGATTGTTTCAAAAAAGTCATGTCATCAATGCTTCAATAAAATGCGTTACTGTAAAATCTCAGTTCACTTACTCTTTTTTCCAGTTGATGAAAGTCAACCTTGAGCAGTTTCTCAGCTCTTTGTGCGTCCAGACACTGAGCTTTAGCGTGATCCAGTTCCTGCTGAATCGCCTTGTCGCTCTTTTAAGAGAGAAGGTTTGTTTACTTATTACCTTACTGGGTCATTTTCAAGGTTTAGCGTGGGTGGGACTGGGTCGGTTTTTGTCGAACTGCATTATGGGACTTATTTAAGTATACAAGGTGGGTAAATACAAAATAAGATCGACCTAAGGGAGGTTTTTGAGCCCGCAATCAAGACTGAGCAAACCCCACAAACCCTTGTTTTTACTAAAACCGCTGGACACAAAACCTCCCTTGGGTCGATGTTACATTGTCACAACCTAAAAGGTGTTCTTTAGTGAACCCAGCTCAATGGCCTTATTGTCCTCGAGTTGCTTGAAGCTCAGTTGTAGAGCATGTGGACTACCCTACTTTAGGTAATTAAAGCTCCATGAAGTTATGGTATTGGAAATTACTGCGACTTTAGAGGAAAACGACTTTAAAATAAAGAAAATTAACGACGAAGAGAGGATAACAGTTCAAAATGGAGAAAATTAACGGGATGCTCACAAAGAAACTAAAGTTTTTGAGACAACAGAAACAAAGTTAGGCCCAGTTCAAACGTCGAACTTTGTATGTACCAAACTTTATACCTATTTGGGTCGACCCAAATGACAACAATTCGACGGTTAATTCAGGCGTCGAACTTAATTAGTCGGACCCAATTTACTTTCACGATGTACAATGGTCTACAATGCTTATCAGTGAAATGAATTCAGTAATTTACGCATTAGTTTCGGCACATGAAATTTCGAAGTTTGAAGTTTGAAACGTAGTCGCTCTACAGTCGAAAATCCCATGTGGGCCACTCGATCTTAATTCATGGGTCCACCCAAATTAAATATGTCGAACTTAATTGCTTCAAATGTCGATCTCTTCATGTTCTTAATTGAAGGGATTAGAATCGGTACATGAAAAGGTCGACGTTTGAACTGGGCCTTAAACGTATAATCTGAAATGGAAACCTTGTTCGAGGTACTTTCCCTAACGCACAAAGGGAGTCTAACGAAGAAATCTGGCCACTTCGAGGGTTCTTCACAGTTTCACTGTTACTGGCGAATCTCCATTCTTATAAAACACTCCTCTTTTCTACGTGTGAAGAATGTCCGAAGTGTATCCAAAATAATGGAAATCTCAAGGTCGCGTAAATCAACACTACACATAGCCTCCCATGCAGGCGTTTTTAGGGGAGCTCGTATTTCGCCCCTCCCCACAAACGCCTGCTCTACCGAGAACAACATTTTTTTTCCCATTGTCTTATTTGCGTGGTAAGTGACCGATCAACAGTTTCGAAATAAAGTGAAATAAAGTTTTGACAGGGTAAACACGACTTATAATCTCGTGGTAGTGTAAAAGCGTCACCCTGGAGTTACCTATTTCCTTCTTTTCGTTCCTTCGCGAGCCGCAGACGTATTTTCCGGTCTTCGCTTCTCTCCCTCCGAAGGATTATGCAGTGCACGGGTTATTCTACAATCTGACTAAATCTTGCTTTTGTCGCTCTGAGTCTAACATTTATTAGAGGTCATAAAGCTGTCCCAGTGTTTCATGCAGATTGACTTATATCGGGTTACCCTGCGGTCGAAGTCAACCTTCCAGAATTTGGAAGGTACAATGTGATTGGCTAAGCTTGGGAAACGAATGTTGTTCTCGATTGAGGAGGGGTTTGTGGGGACGGACGAAATACGAGCTCCCCTAAAACACCTTCGTGGCAGGCTACGCTCCATATTACCGGCGGGAAAATTAACGTTTTAGGAAATAAACGCGACTTGAATTCGTGAAGCGTTAATTTCCTATAAAAAGGTAATAACCAGAAGGCCATAGGCTCGACTCCTGTTAAGAGAATTATAAAATCTGGTAATATTATAACCTTCCGCGATGTGATCAGACTTGCTCTGATTCAGGCACAACATCCGGGATATTCAAGTCTAGGTGCTATGGCAACTAACCTGTCTTCCTTCGCTGAGATGATCTCTCATCTTCTCTAACTCGTGTTCTAAATCAGCGATGGTTTTAATCCTTTCCTTCAATTGCTTCTCTGTGGTTTGAAGTTTCTGAAAACGGCAAAAAACGAAATCAAAGAAGTAAAATAACATAATTGGTACTCTCATTCACGGGAACAGACAATAGTCAACACTCTGTTTGAATACAGGCTTGGGTAACGATGCGCAAATGATCCATCTCAATGAACTGCCGATGTAAGCCGTTTACAAATAATCCTACGGCTAAACTTAATGCATGTAAAACCGACAGAAAAAGAAAAAGCTACTTAAGTAAACGAGCAATTAGTTACAAGGAGTTACCCGCGCTAACGAGCTTGCATTACAAGCATGCATTGAAAATATTACGTGTACAAATACAACGAAATAAAACTGTGATTACTGTTGGTATTAGCTTCTTCCAGTAGCTGCTTTCGTGGAAACTTGGACGCTTTACTTTCCGCAAAAATTCAAAGTGTGACTTTCCCGATAAACCTAAAATATTGTGTGGCCCTGTGCAGAAAATTTACATGTTTTTTTCAAGTGGCTTGACATTCATTAAACTTCAACGGACTCTGAAAACCTGTCAGCCGCTCAGATCAGAATAAACCTAGACATTTAGAAAATATAGAACGAATTATGACCCCATTAAAAACAACGGAATAAGAAAAAAAATAACAGAAATTTTGCGAAAGACAAAAGTATTAACAGAAACAAGGATATTTAATTTCTGATAAAACATGCTTGATTTTGGACAATCCAGACTTCTTTGGTATTAACTTAGAAACTACAGGGAAACATAACTATTCAGTTTATTGACATTCCTGAAAGGACATTTGTCTCGTGTTGTCTTGAAAACATGAAGATGTATCAACAACACAAAAGCTCAAAAGCCGAATCCATTACACTAAGTAAACAAGTAAACGAACTTCCTGCTGCACGCTAGCTGCACGCATTTGCAAGCGTAATACAGTCACAGCGGAAGTACACAGTAATTTTCAAGGAGTTATAATAACTGCTCTAGTGGGGTTAATTTAACTCCTTACAGTAGCGTCATTTTTTTCGGAGTTATCTTAACTCCAAAAAGGAGTTTAAAGAACTCTTTTTCAGGAGTAAAAATCATCTCAGATTTGGAGTTAATACTGAGGAGTTAAAGTAACCCGCAAAGGGGGTTATCATGTACCTAAAATTTTTACTCCATTTTTGGAGTTATAATAACTCCCCAAAAATTACTGTGCACGAAAATAAAATGGCGGCTTACGAGAATGAACTGGACCGAAATGAATGTGGGTTTATCAATAAGCCTTCGTGTAAAACGTGTTAACAATAACGAAAAAAGGATACTTAATTGATTTAGCTTTACTTATTACATGTAACTTTGTACAAAAACATTGTTGATTAGAGTTATGTAAGGCTTGCCATGAATTAATCCCTCATAGCGTCTTAACTCTGCGAATATTTGACCAATTTCTATGAAATTTAGCCAACCAAATTATCCTGTAAACATCTGAAAAATATAGGCTTAACATATCTCTAACGCTCCGTTGCGTATGTATGTAATAAAAAAATGTACTAAAAAGTTTTAAGCGTTTAATAATAATAATAATAATAGTAATAATAATAATAATAACTTTATTTTATTGTCAATGTATTTAGCTCAACCGTTATATTAGCTAATTGGGGACACTTTTCTAAGAACTGGCACTAATCTATTACATGACTTTTATTTTAATGATCTTACCCAAAACCTAAGACTATATACAAATGTTCATTCGACTCAGAATTTACACAAGTCACAGCAGTTACTATTATTATCTATATGGCTAGAAAGGTCCACACCGCGTATATGTTTCTTGAATGTTTTGAGGCTCGTCAAGTTTCTGAGCTCACTACTGACTTTTGACGAAATGAAAGGTCCTTGGTAGCGTTTGAAAAGTGAATTTAATATGTTACTGCGGGCGCAATTTCAATGAAGAGAAGCACATGATTTAGAGACTGTTTACGAGGTGGGGGACCCCAGGTAGGTGTGGTAACATGTGGCGGGTCACCCCACCCATCATGTAGACGTGATCAAATTAAAATGAGAGATTATATGGACAGGCGGGTTACCTCACCTGCCTACGGTCCCCCACCTCCATGTAAACAGGCTCTTAGAAAAATGGTAAAGATAGTTAAATTAACTGATTCTTTAGTACATCCTTAACCATTATTCCACATAATGGAAAATGAAACACGATGGAAACTGTACCTATGTACTGGCTGTTTACTAATTATAAGACCGATTACAAGGTGTTAAACCTAGAACTCTAAAATAAAAAAGGTGATGTTTCAGATGGGAAGACCTTTATAACAGATCACTCAATTCTTACCCCTTTTGTTGCATAAAGCTCTTGTTCTAATTTTTGTGCCTCTTTCTCCACTTCTTTAGCGGCCTTCTGCCGTCCCAGCTGAAAATAAGAGAAAGAAAGCTTGAACGTTACATACAGTTAATACATATTTATTAACCCAGGGGCACCCAACGACTGTTTTCTTTAAAATATCTGTTCGGAAAAGCAACTATTCCCTAAAATTTTCTATCAGTCACTTGGATAGCCTCCCCGCAGACGTCCGTTGGGGTTCGGTTGTTGTCACCCATTCATTTCTCCCCCACGGACGACCGAGAAATGAATGCGTAACAACAACCGAACCCCAACGGACGTCTGCGGGGAGGCTATCACTTGGACGACGGCTACAAATTTCTAGACGACCGTTCCATTCATCAACAATTTTCGAAGCTTATCTAATAAATTCCCGACGATTTTCTGAAGATTAGTTTTCGCATTTTACTTCCCAAGTTAGGTTATTTTTCATAGAAAAAAGGAGACCCAGAATTTTCCGATTCAAAAATGTGATGGAGAGATCAATAAGAAAATGTCTCACTTTGGTAATAAGTCAAATTTCATCGAAAATTTTCGGGAAAATAATATTCAAGCCCTTGTAATTTCGAAAAGACTCAATTTTCCCCAGGATGACCGAACAGATACAAATTTTACAACGCCGCTTAGAATGCTTTTCTAGATATCTTAAAGTACTCTGGATAGCCTAAAAAGTGTTTTCAATGTATTTAGGAGCAAACCGTCGTTGGGTGCCCCTAATTAACCCTTAAGTGAATAATACTTTACAGGATGTTAAAAGGAGATTGGGTACTTTGACAGTTTGAACGTTGTCGTTGTTAGTGACATATAAGGAAGCTTAAGCAACGACGACGGCGACGGCAACGAGAACAGCAAAAAAGCAATTGGTTTAGACATGACAAGAAAAACAACAACTTTGCACGTGCATCACGCTTTTTTGTACATTTCTTAGCCGTCACTGCACGACTACGACGAGAAATTCCCTGATTTCATGTTTTGTGGAGGACGTGAACACAAGACAACGACTTTCTTTTTCTTTCTCTGAACTTCGATACAGTCTTTTAGAGTTCAACTCTTGGAAAATTTGCCAATATTTGACGAATTGAATGAGATGGAATAAACACGATAAAGTTTAAAGCCACGCGAATTCACTTTTTAAGTCATGTTTTCGTAGCCGTCGCCGTGGTAGTTGCTTAAGCTGCCTTGTAGCTTTAGTTCTAACGGTTCAATAGTGAGCTTAAGAAAAGACATTTTTAAACGATGCACTTCAACTGGAAGTAGCGTTTTTGCCGTTTGGCTTGTGGCCTCGCCCAAATTTTAGGGCAAATTGTCTCGATAAGAGTTAAAACACTTAGCAGTACAAACTGGTGGCGTCAGGGCATTAACAGAGAAACGGCCTGACTTCCGATTGAAGTGCGTCGCGCAAAACGCCTCTACTGAAACTCCCTAATGTGTAGTCGAATGATTCTACAAGTGACTCTTCTGTGTTACTTACTCTGCATGCGAGCAAGCTTTTCAGGCGAGTTACATTGTTTAAAGCCACATGCAAGCGACACACGAAAGGAAACACGAGAGAGCAGGTTGAAGAAAGAAACGAGGGCTTTACTTTCCTCTGCCTCACACGTTCTCGCTTCGCTCGCCACACAAAACGGAAAGCTTGCTCGAAGGCTGTTTTTTATAGAGTTTCATATAAGTCAGCTACTGGCAGTTTAAAGGCGTCTTTTGGAACTCAAATCAGCACATATCTTTGCATTAACTTTTATGGTTTAACCTGAGAAAGGATTTTGCCTACACCAGGAGCGTTGCGTGACGACACTAAAATGGCTGAGAGGGAGACTAGCATCCCGTGCACATCTCAGGCCCATAATTCCGAATCCCGGCTACAAATAAGGAAAATACCGGATCACGACATTCAAATACGGAAAATCCCGGATCCCCGATCCCGAAAAACCTATTGGGAACCCTCGATACAGCCGAACGTGTAACGCGGAAAAAGTAATCGTTTCTCGTCGTAGCCTGCGAACAAGCTCTCCATGGCCATTTGGTGGAGTCGCGAGTCCCTCGAGGCTGGCTTCGTTCCCTCCAGAAATGGAGAGCTTGCTAGTGGCTTCTCCACGTAGCGGAGGGCGCCTTTCGAAACTTCCCAATGAAGGGGGAGTGTTGAGAGAAAGCTGTACTCGCAGGCTACGATTAAAATTATCTTTGAAGTTAAGGCAACATTAGCTTTGTGTATTATATCTAACCTTCGTCGACATGGTGGAAATTGTTGAATCCTTTTCACGTAGTTCCTTCTCAAGTTTTTCAATCTCTCTCTTCGCCTGATGCACTAAGGTGTCCTTTGCAGAGTTTTCTCTCTGTAACCCGTTCAGCAGTGTCGTGGACTGCATTTTTTGCTTGTTTAGCTTTTCATTTTCGTTGGATAGTTGAGCAATTCTTCGCTCCTTCTCAGCGATGTCAGTGCGTAACGATGCGATCTTGTTTATGGTTGCGTTTGGGTCCGTTTTAACCCAAGCGGAAGCCCTAGGCTGTGAATAATAACCAAAAATATCCAACTTCCATAAGCTTTTAAGTGAAAATCTATTTAAAATAGAACGTTTTCCAAGTTGTCGAGGAAAACTTGCCTTAGGAAATCAAAATACATAAATAAGCGCCCCAATAAACAGTAACAGGCAATGGTAAAGAGTCCTTATTTCATGTCGGTAGCTCGAAATAGTCATCTGACTAAGGATTGATTTCCACTGTCGCGTAATGTTTCCGTGTGAACGCACGTAAAATTTACGCTCGTAAATGAAATAAATACATTATATAGGGCCGTTTATACGAGAGAAAATAAGTCGCGGCTTACTCGGGCCGAGGCTTACATAAGCCACGAAACGAACCATTTATACGAGAACGGCTTACATAAGACGCGAACTGCTGGAATAAATGGTTCACGGCTTAGTTCGCGGCCAGACCGGTCCAATGATGACGTAGTTTGTTTTGGTGCCTAGCGTAATTGGGGAAAAGCGAAAAGATTGGCTTTGGTCTAAAAAATCGCCTTATTTTACATTCTTTCAAATTAACTTTTCGCTCAAGATTAGCGTTGCGCTGTTGCGAAACTTGTCGGAAACCTCGACGAAAAGTTCGTCAGCGATCAATCGAGTGGTTTGAAAGAGACGTTCCAGGGATGCATATGGATGAGGTGTTGTTTAGACAAAATTTTCAGTTTTCTCGTGCAGCAGGTCACTTTCCCGCCACTGCAGCGCGCGTCTCTCAGCCGTGAAGATCTGGGATATAATTGAAAACAGAGCATGCGCAGCATTTGAGGACAGCATGCCGCGGACAACGTTTTACTGCCGTTTATACAACACTTTCCCGTCCAAGGTAAGCCGCGGTTTGGATAAGCCCAACCCAAAACTCCTCGGCCAGGATAAGACGCGGCTTGAAGTAGCCGTGGGTTGAATAAGCCGTGAACGAGATTTTGTACCATTTATACCAGTGTTCGCGGCTTATTTAACCAGGGACCAGAGTAAGCCGCGGCTTGTTTTCTCTCGTATAAACGGCCCTAATGTATGAAAGGCCACGCGGAAACGTGAAAGTTGAGCGAGGATCAACTTTTTCGTTTAGGCGTGACCTTCCACACATTGTCTCTATTTTATTTACGCGCGTACGCACGATAAAAATTAAGCGACAGTGGAAATCCACCCTAACAAACCTGAGGCCGACGGTGCGCTCGTTTTATCCGCCCTCTCTCCATCAGTGATCCGTTTTACGAGTATTTAAAGCTACTTAAAGCTACACGGAAAGAGAACTCAAGAAGTCGATAGAAGGATTTGAGGTCACACCTGGGAATCGTACTCAGGACCTCCCGCACAGAAGGCCGCGTACTAACCAACTGTGCTAATCCTTCCTACTTCATTGAAAAAAAAAAAGCCTTGAAAAATTCTCCCCTTAAATTTACTGCAGTAAGCCTACTTTCTGTGTAGTTTTTCATAATAACTAAAGTAAAATTCCGGTTGCCAGCGCTTGAAGCACATGAAGCAACACGCAGATTGAAAATATTCTGCTTGTAATCATTCCCTGTTTCACCACACTCCAGCTATAATTAATACTCTTCTACCGTGCTTTTGTCATCCCTCAATGAGAACAAGTACGATGTTTATTAATCATAATAACAACTATAATCTTGCTTACGGCCGGCTAGTTAAAACACTCTCAAAAGCCCTTTCATAATTGTAGAAGCAAAGCTCATATAATCAGGATTCAACAACGTTCCATAGGTAAAGGCCTCATCCAAAATGTTACCTTTTAATATACCATTTTTGACAGAAAAGGTAGTCCTTTTCGTATACCTTCCATTGACAAATGGTACCCCTATCTCATACCTACTATCAGTTAGTCTTCTTGCCTACCGTTTAATAAATTAAATTGATACGGCCGTAAGATGCGTCGGCTCGAAATATTCAAGTTAAAGCCCCTTCTGAACACCTATAAAAAAGACGATTTTCCCTACCCTTTCATATACTTCAACTCACGAAATCCTTACCCTGTACATATACCCGAAGCCTGAAAAAGGTACCCCTTTTGGGCGGGGCCTCCCCGTATAGGCATCATGGAAAGTATCTCCACTGACAATATTTAGGACAATTTACCTGCGCCTGTAATTGGTCCTTTAAAGCAGCAACTTCATTGTTTTTGGCGTGCAGTTGATTCTGGTACATCCCTAGTTTCTGCGCTGCTGCCTTCTCGTTTTCTTCCTTCTCTTGTACAATCGCTTGCACCTGTGATACTTGCTCACGAAGCTGATGAATTATGCTTGCATTAGAAAACGCTGAATCCTCTCCTCCAGCTCTGATAATCATGATAGTAAAAATAGAAAGCATCACATAATGGTCGTGAAATGATTTAAAACGGCATTTTGATTGTTTAAAGTGATCACAAGCGGCTTTGCAATCGCTTAGCAATCACAAAGGCGACAGTAGAAAAGATTTACCAATAAGACGATTTTCGCACCCTTTCAAACATCGAATTGTCACCGGATTTTTCCAAATTGTTCAGTATGTGAAATACAGGTGACTTTACCAAGAGTAGAATTCCTTAACGAATGTTCAGCTTACGGGTTAACACCCCATAAAACGTTGCATTAGAGAATGTCACGTTGTTGTCGTGCAGTAAGCCGTGGGCGGCTACAACCGGACCAAAACGCTTGATAAACCTGACGAGTTGTTGTTTTGTTTTTTTTCACTGGGTTTTCTTAAGGAGAGGAGACTCTAGCTAGTTCATTGTGTTAGTGCGCTATGAAACTTAACGTTAGCAAAGAGACAGCAATTACCCGATTCATTTTCATTAAGGAGTCCCTTGCATCACTTCTACATGCAATTTCATGACTTAGGAGTTTCATGTTGCTTTGTTAGTGACCTCAGAATTAACCATTTTTTGCCGAATCATGGCTCAAATCAAAAGAGAATAATTCTGGAATCTAGCGACCGTACACAGGCAGTAGTCAGTGTGGTAGGAAGAGAGTCTCCTGTTATAATAGAAACCGCGTTTCAATATAGGTGAAACATGTTTAAAAAAGGACTCCAAAAGGCAATTTGTATTTTGCTCAAAACCAGTCACTTTATTGGTGACTAGAACGACACACCAGAATTAGAAACAAAAGATGTATCATTAAGGTATGCGTCACTTCGTCAAATGCGGATACCAATTCGACAAAAGTGACGTTAGCTGGTTTTGGTCTTTTTCATTGCCAAGTTGTATCAGTTGTTAGTTACTTCATTGACTGCAAAGAACCACTTTCAACCCGACAAGATTACACCACCATGGTTTCTGATCTACGTTTTCAACAACTTTGTAAAGGTTATTCAGAACAAATTGCAATAAAATCTTTATGAAGGCGGATCACTCACTGTCTAGCCTGTTCCAGGCTCTCAGATCATTGCACTATCAGATGTGGTAGGGATGACGCGTAAGTGAAAGGCGCACGAAAATGATGAGCGCATGATCTGGAAAAAGGCGCTTACCTCCCGTTTGATTTTCGCATTCGCGCTTTGTTACGGACCCGACCATCTCGGAGCCTGGAACAAGCTAACCACTGTCTTAAGTGGACATTAACAAGAGCAAATGTACCTGAAACTGCCACTTGACTGCAGAGCTCCTTTCAGATCAACAACCTCATCTCTCAGAGCTGCAATGACGCCATCTTTACGATGACACTCTGCTTCGTATGAAGCTAGTCGGCTGAGTTCATCACCCATGCGTAACAGACGTTCCTCCTGGAGAAAATAAAAATAAAAACAAAAACAAACTGTAACACAAGATAGTCAAGATAAGGATAAGATTTGGAAAGTTGTGACACAACAATTTCTGCGGGTATTTAGTCGGAAAAGTAAGCAGACAAAATTGATTCAATTTTTTACACTAAAATGGAGAACCCTATACGCTGTAAAAAAAATAAATTTCAAGGTAAAAAAAGGGTCCATGCTAAGCCTTTGTCCTGAAAAATATTCAGTATACATTGTGGCTTCCATAATGCACCAAGCTGAAGCAATTACGAAATACATTACTAACATTATTATGGTCCTTACTTGACACCATCACCTGACCAGCAGTATGCAGTCGAAACAAAGCAATCAATGACAAAGACTTTTGTGAGACAATTTTAAACGATTAATAAGCCTACCAGGTAACATGATATTTCTATAGCATCCGTGCCCTCCCCAAAAACCATTCCAAATACCTCATAGCTCTACACAAGGACTTTGCTTCCAGGAGGGAGGGGGGGTGTACTGAACAAGTGTTTATACGGGGAGGCTCCACTTCGAGGTCAAACCCCTTGCGTTTTATATACCATTTTTCACGAAAAAGGTACCCCTTTCGTATACCCCCTATTGACAAATGGTATCCCTTTCACAAACTTTGTTTAGAAGTTTGCATCCCCAACAGAACGTTTTCTCGACTTTATAAAGGCATAAAGTTCATCTGTTAGATCTTTGGGGCCCTTTTACAGACCCAGATGACAGATTTCTCTACCCTTTAATACAAATCAACGAGTGAAGTCCCTACCCTTTCATATACCTGATGGCTGAAAAAGACACCCCTTTCACACAAAGCCTCCCTGTATAGGCCATCATAGGGAGTACATCCCACCAAGCTTGGCTCCCCAGCTTACATACCATCAACCCCCCTAGACGGTTTTGAGACAACAAATTTCACTGCACCTCAAAGAAGCTTACCAGATCTTGAATGCTTTGCTCCCCTGTTATCTGCACTGGACCATTAATCCATCCACCTGTAAATTCAGGAGACAATTAACATGAAAGTCTCAGCATTATTATCAGGGGGGACAGGAGGGGGTGCTAAACTTCCTACCTCCCATACCTTGCATTACTGGCCCCTGCCCCTTTTTTCTTGCCTTCCTCCCCCTGTGGGGTATTTCTGGGAAATCTTGGTGGGGATGTGCCACCCGGTTCTTAAAATCCTGATCTTATTTCAGACAAAAACTTTCATTATCCACACCCGTTTTCAGACCTAAAATTACTTACATTTGTTTAAAATCCATTTCAAATTCGCATGTTATCCTGCTTTCTTGTTCATTTGGAATTAAAATGACAAATACGTTTATACACTCCCGTAGTTCCCTTGAAAACCATTCCTGGTTCCAGACCAAAATGTGCAAAGTCTATACCCTTTTTCAGACTGAAACGGCCCAATAACCCTATCCTTTGAGGCAGTACATACCTATATGGCTTCTAAAAGGGAGTACCATCCCCAGGGCTTCCTCCCTTTAGACTTTTTTCAATTGCAAAATATTACACGCAAGCTCTGACTTCCAGCAGTTTTTGAACTCCCACCACTCATATCCCTCCTGCAGCCTATCCTTCTTGGCTCCCCCCCCCACTCATATCCTTCCTGCTGCCTATCCTTCTGGGCTCCCTACCCCCCCCCCCACTCATATCCCTCCTGCAGTCTATCCTTCCCTACCCCCCTCCCCACTCACATCCCTCCTGCAGCCCATCCTTTTGGGCTCCCTAACCCCCGTCCTCTCCCGCCTATGAATGCTTTAGAGGAAAGTAACACAGAGATTTTGCAGTGCCCTTAATGTTAGCATACAATGTTAAAGAAACATAAGTAAGAACTACTACTACTACTACTACTGCATACATGTAATTGCCCTTATTCCATGCTATGTCTTTTTGTTAAAATTCTCACATTCATATGGTTTAGTCTGAGTGTAGTAAAAGCTACCAAAAAATTGCTGCAAGGATTTCATTTTAAAAATGGTCTTAAATGAAACCATGAAAACCCACTGCAAATAAAGCAAATAAGCAACCAAAATAAACAAATCTTTGTAACTTTAACTCCAGCAGAACTGCAGACTGGCCAGACTAGCTAGTCCAGTCATATTCAGAAATTCATTTTCAATCAAAAATGTCCAACTTGATTAGTCTATTCCTAAATAGTATACAGGGCAGTGTACCGTTTTTGGTGAACATTCTCCTGAAAACCCTATTTCCTCTCATTTCTTACTTTTGAACTAATCTCCTTAAATTTCTTGCTAACGGAAATGTAATATTGATTAGTGTATTCCTAAATAGTATACAGGGCAGTGTACCGTTTTTGGTGAACATTCTCCTGAAAACCCTATTTCCTCTCATTTCTTACTTTTGAACTAATCTCCTTAAATTTCTTGCTAACGGAAATGTAATATTCTTCTTTGGCTGCCCAAATTCACTTAAACATTTTTTTAGTTACTCCTTTCCCCTGTCTTTGCACTATCATATAATATTGTATATTATAGTTTTAGGGGGCAATCATTCAATCCCTTCTTCTACAGAAACCAATTAAGTGCATGGCTGTGTTCATTCACTGATATGATCTTAAGAAATTCCGCAATTAACAGGGAAGACCTTGCGAGTACGATGTCAGACGGGAATGCATGGAATAAGATCATTATTCACAGCATCCCAACTGAAAAGGCTGGATGATAATAATGATGATAATGATGATGATAGTTACCTCTAGCAACAGGAGGACCAATGTTCCATTACCGCGCACAAACTATTACAAAAACAGCTTCAGCTATAGTGGCGCCATTCTCTGGAACAGTCTTCCTTGTAACTTAAGGGAAGCAGAGTCCCTTGGGCAATTTAAACGATTACTCAAAGAACTGTAAGGCACGGCATTCGTGGAAAGCAGCCTTTTTATTTAAATATTTTTATTATATTAGTATTAGGCATTTTTAAAGCTGACGAATTTTGTACCGTGGATAAATAAAGATTATCTATCTATCTATCTATCTATCTATACTGAGCCACCAGTCCCAGGCAAACTGACTGGTTCAGTGGTTGTATACAGTGGTACACCATCAGTACTCACTGGTGTCACAGTGTTGATATAAGGAAGGGAGGTGACTCCACCTGATGGTAATGTTGCCATTGGTGATGACAGAACACGGAGTCTGTATGATTCCCATGGCTTAGACAGACCCAAGGATGGGTAATGAAGTGTTGAGGATGAATCAACAAGAAATTCAAAACCTGCATTTCCTGTTTAGTTGTATGCATGTTAAGGAAGTTGTGTAATTAAATACAAGGTATGCACTATAAATTCATTTAACTATATAATTTGAGCAAAATATCACATATCATCAACTGAAAAGATACAACTCACTTCGACTCCGACTATGACTCAAGGTTGTTGAAACGTCAGTCACTGTCAACAGCTGAGTCATATTGGGGCATTAATTAGGACTACACTCACCACAGACTTTCTTTTACTGTTGTTGTCATTTTTAAAAGGATACCAAATCCAAACCTTATTACATCACCGGAGGCAAGTCTCACAGCTGCATTCTGTACACGACAATCGTTTACATAAGTACCATGAGCTGAGTTTAGATCTTGAACCACAAAACAACCCTCTGCCTCATTGTATTCTATAACGGCATGCTGCCGCTCCACGTTAGAACACTATATATAAATAAATGAACGAAAAAATAAAGGAAAAAGGTAAACTTGTACTACACTGTAAATTTCATTGCCTTCCATACATGCAACTGGGCACCTGGAAGTTACAATCAGTTGTAACTGTAACCCTCTAAATATGCAGGGAATTATATTGATTACATCTTTCACAAGAAGTTAAGTTTTTGTCATGGCATTTTGGAGGGGGACATGGAGGTTTTTGGTATTTAAAGCTCTTTTTTTTTAAGCGGTATTTCGATCTGTAATTCAGATTTTTATGTCCAATGCTGGTCAATATTTTAAGACTTTAGACTTAATGCTAAATAATAACTACACAATTTCTGACAGTTAATCTATGATGAAATTGGTAGTGCATCCAGTGACTGGGCTTTTGATCGTTATGCCAATCACGTCGAGGTCTTCTCCTGTTTTCTTGCAACGGCTGATCAGAGGTTGATTGCTGGTACATACATGCTTGAGATAAACAAACACGTGAGATGGATACTACTTTAAGTAAGCGTAACCAATCATAATGCGGTATTGGCATTTCGTCGATTCCTTTCGACATGGCATTGCCAATTTTTTAATGGTATTGCTGAAACACTTGTGAGAGACAGCGATACGAGGGAAATAAGCTCTCTTTAATAAGACAAGAATTGAAGTAACTTAAATATCCTGCTTATTAAATATTTACGTTGACACCTTATGTAACTCTAATCTTGATAATAAATACAACAATGCATGCTTGGCACTTGTCACACCTCCCCTCTTACAAAAGAGAATAACGCGAATAGAATACATAAACAAACAGCTCAATTTATCCCTCTTAAACTTGTATACCAAAACACTACAAAGTCTTGAAATCTTTTCGTTAGTTTACAACAAAGTCTTGAAATCTTTTCGGGGGCCTTCTTTCTCTCTGCGATCATCAAAGATTAGTTGGCGGCACAGAAGAGGGCACAGGAGATGGATTTTCCTGTCGACCTTGTTCGATGTTGGCACTAACTCAGGAACAGAGTGCACACTTGACTCAGGTACATCAGGTGGAGGCAAATTTCCTCCGGGGGATTCTGCGTTACTGCGACTGGACTGAGGGGTAACAGGCAAATCAAACTGATCAGTAACAGGAGGTTCTCCTGTGCTCAGCAAGTCAAATGGCACGGTGGTTACGACAGTAAACAGCATCACCAGTCTTTACCAGGTAACTGCGCTGACCAGCAAAACCCACGCACTTGGCAGGTGACCAAACTTTCTCACCAGGAAGCCTCACACACACAGACTCACCAAGGTTGATGAACTTTAAAGGCTTCACATGCCGATCATAATAATTCTTTTGGCGCCATTTCCTTACGGCCAACGCACGCACATCACCGTGTAGTGGATAACTTGGTCTTAAAAGAGACTCCGACATTGGCAGAAGTGTACGACATCGATCGACCACTCATCAGGTGCTGCACAGGACTGGTATCTATTACCTCAGGAGGTGTATTTCGAAAGTGAAGTAGAGCTTGACATTCTGACACACTGGTTTCTTTGCATTTCTGAAACAGACGTTTCACTGTCCACAAAGAATTCTCAGCCTTGCCATTTGACTGAGGGTAGCGAGGCGATGTAGTGACATGATTGAAAGACCAACTCTTTGCAAACACTTGAAACTCATTAGAAGAAAACTGCGGCCCATTATCTGTAACCAGGATCTCAGGAATCCCAAAACGCGCAAACATAGTCTTCAACTCATGAACAACAGCTTGCATTGTGGTAGAGCAAAGATGCGCCACTTCGATGTAGTTGCTAAAGTAATAAAAAACAACTAAAAGAGTATGCCCATGCAGTTCACACAGGACAGCGGCTAACTTGGCCCATGGTCTTGGAGCTATTTTGTGTTGAAGAAGCGGTTCCTTAGGTTGGGACGTACGATGAGCCAAACAGATGGCACACTTGGAAACATAATCTTTGACATCAGACGCCATCATAGGCCAAAAGAGGTATTCTCAAACCTGCCACAAACAACCCTCGATACCAATATGGGTCGCATGAGCCAGCGACATTAGTTCCTTGGGCATACAACCTGGAACAACCAAACGACGGTCCTTGAAAATTAAGTTACCTTGAACAATCAGCTCCTCACGTAGATCAAAATAGGGTCGAAGACACATAGGAATGTCAGACTTTCTCTCAGGCCAGCCACATTGAATGACAGTGTGCAACTGCTTCAGAACTGGATCATCAGCCGAAACATGGGTTAACTGTTGCCAACGCTCGTCACTTACAGGTAAGTTAGCTCTGTGGTCAACCTCTTCCAGCTCCCGAACAAAATACAGGAATTGACTTCAGGCAAATAGGCACGGCTTAAAGTGTCTGCAACCAACATCTTCTCTCCTTTCAGGTAAGTGACATCCAGACTGTACTTTTGCAGCCTGAGCAGCATCCTCTGAAGACGCTTGGGGGCTGTACAAAGTTCTTTCTGGAAAATGGACTTGAGGGGATTGTGATCTGTCTGCACTCGAACACAATCACAGCCATAAATGTATGCATAACTTCTCACACGCGAAGACAATCACCAACAACTCCTTCTCTATATGGGCGTAATTTACTTTCTTGTCAGTCAACATGCGCGACGCATATGCTTCTCTAAATCTTCCAGGGTCTCTCTAAGACATTTGCGGATCGCAACTGGAACTCTGCGAGGAGGATGTTGAACTGGCCTAGCTGACTCATCCAGCACTATGTGATATTCTCCCGCAAGTGCACCCACGCCATCAGCGAAGACACAAGGAAAGCTCTTAATCAGCTGGTCAGTGGAGATCGGGGAACTGGCCGGAACATCATGTATATAAACTTCACCATAAGACTCGTGTGGTCGGTTTAACTGGTCCTTGTCTAGATACTGGATAATGTTCATTCCCAGGCACGCTTTCCTGCCAAGAATAGGTCTGACTTTCTTGCTGTCAACCAAATTGAAGTCAAGCAGGCATCTGAAATCTCTACGCCATACACGTAAATGACCTGTCCCGAGGATAGGAATTGAAGAACCACCATACAAAATGATCGCCATATTGACAGGGGTCACATTGCACAAATCAACATCCTTAGTGGTTTTCTTGTATAGATGCAAAGGGGTAACATTGCACTGAGCTCCGGTATCGGGCTGAAAACGAAGATAATTTGCAGATTCTAACTTCAGCGTTACCAGTTGAGAATCATCCAACGTTACATTCCTTCCACTCCAAAAACTTCGTCTGAAAGCTCATCTTTGAAACAATACACAGGATGCGTGCGAGTCGTGGGCTTTGGCGCATGTCCAAAACATACACTCGCGAAATGATTTTTCTTGCCACACTTATTGCAGCTCCTTCCAAAAGCTTGACAGTTCTCACGCTTCGCTAAGTCATGCTCACGTCCACAAAATTCACAACTATTACGCGTTAGCATTTCTTGAGCCATGACTGTGCCTACGTTTCCCTCTTTTAGGCTTTTTAGACACAGCATTCACATTTCCGGCATCTGCAACGCTTAAACTGGCATCGCCGACAACCCTCATCTGCTGTACCATGCAGGTCTTTTGAGAACGACAAATCTCATCAGTTTTCTCCAACGACAAATTCTTCTCATGAAGAAGCCTCTCACGAACCTTTGAATCGCGAATTCCAAACACGAGCTTGTCACGTAAAATCTGATTGGGGGTTAAATCGATTCGAACTCGCATCTTTCCACTAACTGTCGAAGAGCTTTCTGATAGTGATCGTAAGACTCTCCCGATTCTTGCATTCTAGAATAAAACTTATATCTTTCGAAAGGCACATTTTTAAGTGGCCGATAGTACACTGCAAACTTTTGTAACACAGGCTGAATCTTGTTTTGGTAGGTGTCACTCGCCCAATCTGTAAACATAGCGAAAACGTTCTGCACTTCAGCTCCGACATACAGAAAGGAATGTTGCAACTTGTATGGCTTCGGGTTCCTGAGGCAACTTCATGGCAATCGAGTAATTCTTCCAAGCTTGCTCAAACTCCTTCCACTTTTCTGCTGCGTTTGAATCATGAATATCAAGCGGTGGAGGTGGTGGTAAAGCAAACAAAGCACCTCTAACATTCGACGTATCTGCAGACGAATTCGGCAATGCACCAGCCCCTAAATTGCCTCCCAGCATCGCAAGTAAAAAGTAAAACACGTAGGTTCCCTACAATATTCCTGACATCATGAAACACTTATGAGAGACAGCGATATGAGGGAAATAAAAAAGCTCTCTATAATAAGACAAGAAGTAACTTAAATATCCTGCTTATTAAATATTCACGTTGACACCTTATGTAACCCTAATCTTAATAATAAATACAACAATGCACGCTTGGCACTCGTCACAATTGCAGAATTGTCCCCCTCCTTTTGTGCCATGATGGATATATGGACATTCCCGATTTTCATATTTATTTCCTTATCACACAACAATCCTTTTGCGAGTAATGCACCCTCATTACAGATTATTAATATTATTGTTGTTGTTGTCTACTTAGCGATCTTAACATTCTCTCATTTCAACAGTGAGTGACAAAACTTTAGGCAAAGATGGTTTTTAAGGCATTAAATGGTCTGCTGCCTAGCTACAATTGGCAGAGACATTTTTAAGATTCAGTGCAAAAGAAATTTAAAGTTGCCCAGAATTAAACAATCATCGGACAGCGGTCATTTGTGTTCAGTGCTGCAAGCTTGTGGAACAGACTTCCCGAGCAGTTGAAAGACTCTACCTTGACATCTTTGAAAAGCAAACTTAAGCGAATTGAAGTTTGCAAATTGTAATGGACAATCCTTAGCAATTCCTTAGTTCGTTTATCTTAAAATTTTCACCTATAAATCATAGCTTCGTTTATCTTAAAATTTTCACCTATAAATCATAGCTTCTTGATTGATTATTGCATTTTTTTTTTCTGAGGGCCATGTGTACATTATCGAGAGATATTAAGTGCTACCCTCGAAAAAAAAGTTCTATTTTTACTATTATTATTATTAGGTGAAACCTGGTTAGTAAACACTGTAGTTTTATTTTGTTACCTGACCCTAACCATGCAATTAGCATACAGAGAAAATTCTTTAGTTTAACCTGAGAATAGATTTTATATGCAATGAAAAATTCCAACCTCTGTAATATGACAATAGATTCTGTCCCTTTGGTGTCCATATCAAGGAGGTTTCACCGAATCATGTGATGTAAACTAAATAACTGGTCAAGTTAGGACTAGGTTGGTTAGATTTTGAAGTGGGAAATAAATAAATTGAATTGAAGTTGAAAATTCTTGCCATCTTTAATAAGAGCTCTTGAAAGAAGTACTGTACTGTGAATTGATATTGAAGATTTAAGTGGTGTTTCCAATCGTGTGTAATTAGTATCCGAGGCGTATTTCAACAACAATCGGAGCAACCAAATGCTACGCTTCAATGTGATCAAAGACCCTAGAGAAAATTTAACACGTATATCGAGGTGGTTCACAGCTATTGAAAAAAAAAGTACTATGGAAGTTTGTTTGAAGACAATTTCGAACCTTATATCTGTTTAACTAAGTTAATTAGCAGCTTAAAATTGCGACTCAGTGACCTGTGTAGTTATTCAAGAGCGAAGAAAACGAAGCTTACTTTTTCGAAACTTTTGCTAAGTGTACTGACAGATTCAGTCAATAAATAAGACGGTTGTAGTTCCTTAGAAGTTATCACTGCTCTATCGGTATGTCTCGACATTATTCTAATTTTGAAAAACTAACAGAGATCATAATAATTATTTAGCTAATCGTTACTAACCTGAATAATCACATCGCTAGCGCTGCCTTCACATCCTATTGTTGTGATTGGGTGCCGGAGTTGGTGTAGACAGCTTCCATCTCGTGAACGAAGACACGCTTTCATTGAAGCACTAAAAATCTCATCATATAGCACTAAAATACTTCCTTGATTGTAATAAAATTAGATTCAGAACGATTATAAACACTCGATCGTTCTTGATAGCATTCCAAAATGGACGGCAATGTTCGCGTTCGGCGGTTGCTATGGCCACTGTTGTTTTCTCGACCCAGTCTCACTCGGTGAAAAAAAATTAAAAACGCGCGAACATAATCGAGGCAATTCGAGGCTAATGTGGGTAACCCAATTCCATGGGCGGATCCAGGATTTTTTTTAGGACGGGGTGCACTCGTCTCTTGCTCTACTTCAACACCAATAAACCACATAGTTTTTTTTGGGAGAATACCAGACTTTTTATTAGAAAACCGCAGATCGTCTCGGTGGGGGGGGGTGCGCACACCCTGCACCCTCCCCCTAGATCCGCTCCTGAATTCTCAGTTAACTACTGTTTTTTCGGCCAAATATACACTTAAAAACTGTTTACAACTTAATCAGTTAACCACTATTTTTTTGGCCAACTCTCAGTTAACTGACTGTTTTGGTTAGCTATTAACTTTCACTTTCCTACAGCGAATATTATTTGGTCATAACCCGAATTTTCCTTCTTGCAGCAAGTCAATCACTTTTGGGGGTAGGTTCTAATAAAATCAAGGTATAAATTTACATGAACTCTGCCACTAGTACAATTTATTAGTAACTGAAAATATAAGTCGTATAATTATCAATATGACACCAACCTCATAGATCCAGACGCACCAGTCATGATCTCGTACTGATCTTCCCGACATGTTCATGCATGTCCTGCTATAAACTACTTCAAAGTCACCTTCCTCGGCACTTTCACTATCTGATCGGAATCAGTCTTGTACTTATCTGGTTGCTGTATGTCCTGTATCGTGTTGTTGGCCTAAGTTTCAATCCATTTTTAATCCTTGCAATCCGTTGCAACAGACGACAAGAAACATTATCAATGCCAAAATAATTCAGGACCACGTTCACCCGGACGAACAAACTCAACCTACTTTTAATATGACTCCTGGATTCAAACCTTTCACAAAATATATAGTCTTAAATAACAAAACTGAACCATTATTTTGGAATTCAATTGGCGAATTCAATTACTTGCACCAATGGCAGAGACGTAGTTAAGAGTGCTGACAAAGGCATGAAAGTATTTGGCACGGGACAATTCGACTTTTATTTCGTGAGTGTATCCCTCTTCGAACTCGTAGTTCTTTTAAGCGATTCCTTTACTGTGGTTCCAAAGTCTTGGGCGTAGTTCAAAGCACTAAATGTGTTGTGTTGAAGTGAGAAACCGCATGTAGGATTTCCACCTACGTTGTCAGAAATTTTTTTACCTCGATATAGGTTTTTTCGACATCCTCTTCCGCGTCCTGCAATGTTACCTTTTTCGCAGACGTACCTTATTCGCATATTTCAAAAGCCTCGTAGAAGATATCCAAAGGTTTTAAGAAATGAAACTGCCGCAACTGTTTCAGCAAGACCGGTTTAAACACGAGCTTAATTTTCTTTCTATTAAAAAAGTCTCCATAGTTAGAACTCCAACATCAGTTACAACTACAACCCTGGTCAAAACGTCTTGGGACACTTGAGGAAATTAGGCAGAAAGACGCACTTTGCTAAATTAACTCGTATTCTACCTCTTAAAAGGGCTTGGAGATGTTGTTATAAGGGGCTATTTGTGCTCTCCCCCTCTCCCCCAAGCAGTGTTGATTGTGTTGAATTAAAACTTGGATGCATAACGCCAACATTGCACCGAGGGGGAAGGGGGGAGGGAAGATGCCTCAATTTGACAAGCTATCGCGTAAGTGTCCCAAGAGTTTTGACCAGGGTTGTAGTACTAGTTGACACTATAGCTGCCCCGTTCTGTATATTGTCAGTGAATAGCATTCTTGCTCGTTGTGTAGCTCTTTGAAATATACTGATTCATAATGAAAGATTTTCACACATATTCCGTACAATAGGTGAGATAAATACAGGAAACGCAAGGTTCCATGCGCAGTTTCAGCTCGATCACAGCTTTGATCAAAACATTCTCAGTTTCGATAATAGTTTATTCTAAACCATAAAAAAAGATTTAAAAGAAGCTGAATTTTTCGCTATCTCTCTTTCACCTTTTACATCCAGTTCATGTTATTTGCCGGAAAGTAAGCCTTAGAAATTAATAGGACGTTTGATCGATTCACGCTACCGCATTCTAGTCTTATTTGAAACTTTATAACGGAAGGACATCTGTGAGCAGGGAATAAGTCAGCACAGAATTTGATTGTCGGCGAATTTCTGTAATAGTCCATCGTTCTGCTAGTGATAAGCTAGCCGTTGTTGACTCGTCTTGCTTGTTTGGGGCTGAGTCTTATTCCGGTCAAAGAGAGAAAGAGTGTCTGGCAAGGTTTCCAATATAAATCAAAGATACGGAGAACTCGATCGTGTCTGGCAAACTCTCCAAGTGCTTATATATACACAGTTAAACGCACCTTATAACTTCATCTGCGCTTAACGAGTGTCTTTTGGTACATAACTTTCAAAACAACTGCTCCACAGAATGTCACTGCGTAACGCAAAAGAGTATCGAAGTATGACTGCAGCTCACAACAGATCCCTGTAGCCTGAGCATCAGGCGTTTCTGGGGAAAAGGGGAAAGATGGAAGCGAAAAAGGGAGAGAGCTGAAGGAGAGAAATGCCTTCCTTTCTCTTCTCCCCCTCCCCCCTCCCCCATCTAAAATCTCCTCTCCCCTAGCCCCTTACGAAGGCCTGATACTCAGGCTACTGTTCAAGCAAATCGAGATTTTTTTCTATATTGACTTTATGACTGTATATTTCAGCTGTAAGTACTTTCCTTAATATACGCGCGAGTTACTAGAGTGCCTCCTCGGGATTTCGCCTTCTGGGCGAAATCCCTGCGGGGGCAAAAATGATTTCTCGTAAGTACAAATTCTATGTACTTGAAAGAAAGACTGCTGATTTCTTTGAACCCTCGAGCCAGAACCAGTGCTAAGAGTCAAAGCTTTTTTATTTGGGTGATGTTTAACTTGACGATCTTTTGGGTCCTTGAAAACAGTAATTTCCATAGTCTTCTTCACAAGCTCCCTGCCCCTATGCGTGGGCACTGACAAGTTCTCCACTTTCAATGGAGAATGTTAACACGTAACCTCGATAAGTCGACACCTGAGCCGACAATACGGTCATGTGGTATTGGTCAGCGGATATCCTGTTTTGACATCTGTCAATTAACCACATCATTGATTGCAGTCTCCCAAGTTCGACATTTAACGTTGGTTGCTCTGTGGTGCAGACGGGCGGGGGTTGTGTGGGTATTTCTTTCAACGTAGCAATGAGAAAACTGACCTAAAGAAATCTGGTTTACTAACTTAGAACCGAGGGGGGGGGGCTCGACTTAGCGAAATTTTGTATACCGTATCTATGATCCAACGATTTATCACATCACATCCGGTTGCAGAGTTGCTGCTCTGTTTTCTTAACAATTAAGATATAACAATTATTCCACAGAATGATCTTTGAAATATCCACTGCATTAATATTGTCTAGACTAACCTTGTTTGCTGCGGAGCACCGCGAAAAATCCTTTAAACATTCCTCATAAAGAGGGGGACATGGGGGTTTACGGTATTGCGGTATTGGGCTTTTTTTCATGCGGTATTTCGGTAATTTTAATTTTAACGTGCGGTATTGCGGTATCATCTAGCTCTGCGGTATGCGGTTTTTCATCATTTTGGCTGACGGTATTCGGTGAAATAAGATTGTTCACGGTATTACGGTACCGTTTATATGCGCTTTCCTTTCGATACAATACGCAAAACCAAAACACAGTAGGACATAAAGGTCAATAAAAGTTAATATTTAGAAGTCTTGAGACATAACGGTAAATGATTACACCATTTGTGGGTCATTTTGTGACAGTTAATGGTCAATATTAAAGATACAATGTGATTGTTGTGGCATCCAATGATAATGAGTCGTCTCAAGTTACCTTACCAGGCTTTTCAATCTGTGTATCTGTGCCAGTATTTCGAGGTCTTACACGTTTTCTCATAATGGTTGAGGTCGCTGAGGTTGAAGACGGCGTGGTCATCATTGACTGTGAGGCAATTTTTTATGAAGAGGGTGAAGGAGGCGAACATTATCGCAACAAGAATAAGTTTAGATCTTGGGTTTTGAGAATTGAAAAACGCCTTGTAAAGTTAAAAAAGAAAATTTGGTAGGTTTGCCTCTTACCGGCGCGGCGTGTGAGACAGTCGAGATAGTTGACCCCTGAGAGACTGACGTGGTAGACTAGACTCACTTATCAAAACTTGCACTAGACGTGCGTGGAAAGGGCTTTGGTTGGTTTGTTTTTCGCTCTTTCAAGAGTTATTTTTATTGGAATTAATTAGCTGTTGGGTCGACCTACCAAAAGGTTGAACGAATGTAGTTTACTTTCCAGTGAAAATTTGCGAAAAATTTGCGAACTACCAAAATATCAAAAAAAACCCATGGACATCTGGTGCATAAATGCCTGAGATAATTAAACGTGCTGGATGGAAGCAACCATAAGTATGCGGAACCGGTTATAAATGTGGTTTAAATATGCGCTATCGGTATTTAGACGATTTTCGACGCGGTATTTCGGTATTTGCCAACTTTTTCTTACGGTATTGCGGTATTGGGTACCCCTCAATGTCCCCCTCCATAAAAAACCGGAAGTTTGATAGGCAGCTTTTTTACATCGAAGCTGCGGCCAAGGATAAATTTGCCACCTACTGGTTTTAGGTAATGAAGAAGAATAATTTTCCATCTACTAAGGTCTTCACTCGCGAGCTTTTTACAGCATAATATTCTTTGAGTTTTCATAATAGAATCCAAGTGGGGAGCTTTCAATCCTCCATCTTCAATGTCCCCAACGAGCACACGACGTTTCACTTTGTCTTTACCTTTCCAGATAAAGTCAACTATAATTTTGTTTACAAATTCCTTATCCATACAAATTA